CCAATGGTGGAATACTACAAGACCACAGCAAGACAAATGAATGTTTTCCTGTCGAATTACCAGACCACTTGATAGACCTAGCAGATAGATCAACAAGAGATCTAACCTCAGAGCAAAGTCAAAGTGTTAAACACCTTCTTCTGGAATTCCAAGACATTTTTTCTAAAGGAGACTTTGACTTGGGACTGTTCAAAGGGATCCAACACAAGATAAACACTGGCAATGCCCACCCGGTGAAATCCAAATTGAGGCGCACACCACTAGGATTCCAATCAGAGGAAGAGGAGCATCTGAAAAGTATGCTGGACAAAGGTATCATCGTTCCGTCAGTTTCTGAGTGGTCGTCAGCACCGGTCCTGGTGCGGAAAAAGATGGGACTGTTAGGTATTGTATTGATTGTAGGGGAGTTAATAAAGTCACCAAGAAAGATGCTTTCCCACTACCGAACATGGAGGAATGTCTAGACACTCTTGGAAAAAACAACTTTATGAGCACGCTTGACATGGCACAGGGATATTATCAGATAGAGGTAGACCCTGATGATAGACACAAGTTGGCATTCATCACAAGGTATGGCCTATTTGAATTTGTACGAATGCCATTTGGAAAATGCAATAGCCCTGCAACCTTTCAACGAGTGATACAGTTAGTTTTACAAGGTCTTAACTGGAAAGAATGCCTTGCTTACCTAGACGATGTCATAGTCTTAGGTCAGAATTTTGAGGAACATTTAATAAATCTAAGAGCAGTATTTGAAAGATTTAGGACCCATAACCTCAAACTAAAACCAAAAAAATGTCATCTCTTCAGGAAGGAGCTTCAATTCCTTGGTCGCTTGGTTACAGAAAAAGGGGTCAGCATCACTACCGAGAGTGTGAAATGTATGGCAGAATGGCCGACACCCAAATGCAAGAAGGACCTTGAAGCATTTCTTGGGTATGTTAACTACCATAGAGAGCATATAAAGAGTTTTGCAGAGATAGCAGCACCTCTGTACACTCTCACAGGGCCAAAGACCAAGTTTATCTGGAATAAAGAGAAGGACACAGCATTCATTTCCCTTAAAGAGGCAATGACTAACCCTGCAGTTCTTGGATATCCCTCTGATGATGGCATGTTCATATTGGACACGGATGCTTCGGACATGGCTATTGGAGCAGAGCTGTCCCAGATTCAGTGTGGTAAGGAAGTCTTAATCAGTTTTAACAGCAAGACCTTGACATCTACTCAACGGAAGTACTGCGTTACTAGGAGGGAGTTGCTAGCTGTTGTAGCATTTACTCGTCACTACCGATATTATCTACTGGGCAGACCTTTCATTTTGCGGACAGACCACAACAGTCTGGCATGGTTAATTGGGTTCAAAAATATTGAGGGTCAACTAGCTCGCTGGCTAGAAGAGTTATCACAATATGATGTTACCATCCAGCACAGAAGTGGAAAGAAACACCAGAACGCTGATGGCCTCTCCAGAATGTCAACAAATGACCTGTCCTGTGACTGTTACAATGCTGGTTGTGATGTCAGTAGGCTACCTTGTAGGGGCTGCAGTTACTGTCGACGGATGCATGCTCAATGGGAACGCTTCCAGGAGGATGTTGATGATGTAATCCCCCTAGCAGTTAGGACCCTTCAAGAAACTGATAAACCAAAGGAAACACCTAACACCATAGACAAGGATGCATGTAACTGGGCTTCTGCCTTAACAGAAGAAGAAATCAGAGATGCACAAATGCAAGATTTAAACACAAGTACCTTAATGAAATGGAAGGCAGAAAACTATGTTCCAACTGAACTGGACCTGTCCCTCTCCAGCAGAGCTGTAAAATACTTTTGGAACTGCTCATCGCAACTACGAATTTTGAATGGTTTCCTTTTCTATGAGTGGATAGATGGCTTTATGTCCCGACTATTGCTTGTGGTCCCAAAGTCACTACAAAATTGTGTTCTAGAAGGATCTCATGACAACAAATTAGCAGGCCATATGGGACAGCAGAAAACCCTACAGAAGGTGAAATCAAAGTATATCTGGTTTGGAATGAGTTCAGATTGCGAGTCTTATGTCCGAACGTGCCCAGTATGTAATGTCAACAAGAAAGCCAATGTACATGCCAAAGCAGGCCTTGTCCAATACCATGCTGGAGCACCCTAAGAAAGAGTGCATATTGACCTGATGGGTCCATTTGTGGAGTCCGGCAAAGGGAACAAGTACATTTTAATGATAGTCGACCAATTCACCAAGTGGTTAGAGTGTTACGCACTGCCTGATCAAGAAGCGGAGACAGTAGCAACATCATTTGTGGAAGGTTTTGTATCTCGATTGGGGTGCCCTCTCCAGCTTCACTCTGACCAGGGTAGAAATTTCGGGAGCCGCTTATTTCAGGAAGTGTGTAAACTACTCCAAATAACAAAGACGAGAACCACCCCATACAGACCCTGCTCAAATGGACAGGTCGAAAGATACAATCGTCTTGTTCTCCAAGCCATCCGATGTTATATGGAAAACATCTCACAACAGAAAGATTGGGACCTACACCTCCAACAAATAGCTGGGGCAGTCCGTGCCACTGTCAATCGACAAACGGGATTCACACCAAACAGAATGATGCTGGGGAGAGAAGTTTCTCAACCTTTAGATATAATGTTAGGAAGGAAGATACCAGGGCAAAACCCAGCAGGATATGTGGAAAATTTGGAGGAGGCTCTTTCAGTGTGTCATCAAGCTGCGAGGGACAACTTGGGGGAAGCACAACTCCGTCAGAAGAGGACCTATGACATAAAATCAAACACAAGAAGCCATGAGGTGGGTGATGTGGTATATATGGTGGATACCTCTTCCAAAGTAGGCCAATCGAAGAAGTTGAGGAAGCCATGGATAGGCCCTTTTGTCATTGTTTATAAGATTAATCATGTGCTATACAGAATCCAAGGGAAAAAGGAAAACAAGGTGGTCCACCATGACAGATTAAAACTTTGTCAAGACAGAGATCTACCCTTATGGCTTAAAAGGCTACGACATTCAGTTCTTCACCCAGAACCCAGTGACAAGGAATCCAAACAGTAAAATCAAGTACAGGAGGAATTACCGCAGTCCAGTTCTTACGACGATGATGCCGTAAGCCCCACAAATGAAGGACATGAGAATGAATCATCAGATGATCTGGAGATCTGCCAAAGACCCGCTCGAAAACGACAGGCACCTAAGTGGATGAAGGATTTTTGTCTTTTGGACGATTAATCATGATGTCATCGGAAATTTTAATTAGAATTATATGTATTTGAATATCTTTTCCTTCTTATCCACTCCTCCCTCTGAAGAATTTATATGTTTTTTTAATTATTTGTATAATTATGCTTTTTCTTCCAGGATGTGTTCCAAATGAACTTTTATTCCCTTCTGATGATTTTTTACTTGTATATAGTCAAAGTGGCTTGATTTTTCTGGCCCAGCTGACTATTTCATAAATATAATAACGCACTGTACATCTCTTAAAAATTATGAGGGGGAGGAGTGTGGTACGAAACACTTTGGTACGATCTAACAATAAATGAGTTTGCAACCTAATACTGGCTTAGTGATCCCTCGTGGTTCCCGAGCCCCGGTATTGGCCTGTAGCTGAGCTCGCAGACTTATAGGTCACTACAACTTTTCTTCACCACACTCATCGATTGATTCATCAAACTGAATCTGTTCTGAATCTATAACTGACATAACACATTTTACTGTCGGTTTACAAAGTTTCACATAACTTAATTTAATATAAAATAACTTAAGGTAACATCTATGTCGGAAAGGTCTTTGTCATAAGATGTTCAAACTTTTAAAAAATGATAAATTAGGAAATCGTCTTAACAAAATCGACAAGGAAAAGAAAGGAAAATCATAATTAAAGTGAAAAAGAGATCGAAGAATAATAGCAGGGTCTTCCGCTGAAGACCTTTAAAATAGATTTTGTTTCCAAGATTTGAAAGAAAACAATCGGATTTTCCTGAAAAAGAAAAAAATGGCAAATAAAGATTTTGATGATACTAAAAATATATATTTCTTTAAAAAATAATAATACGGAATCAGGGCTATATCAAGAATATTTATATGACTTTGTTGCTGATAAAATTTAAATTATTTACGTTTTTCTACTACGCGTCAATAAACTAGGATGTTAAACATCTAATTTTACTTTTTCCAGTAGTATTTGTACATGTTAACGTTTTAACGATAATAGCTCACCCGTATCGTAGAATCACCAACAATTTTTTTTTTTTGCTGCGATCCCATCTGCCTGATGTGTATTTAGTGCCGTCCAAGACCTGAATAATTTCTAAGGTATCCGAAATACTAGCGACTTTATAAAGAATGCAGATTTTAAGATACGAAACAGTACGGATTATTTAAAATTAAAGGAAAAATACAGCAAGGAAGAAATCGGTCTCCCTCCAAATTGCAAATTTTCCGTCATTAAACCAATACAGTAAATATGCATTTGAATGTAATGGCCAAATATGCATGTAAAGGTGTACCGTATTGCCCTTTTCACATTCTTGACTACATGCATATTATGTTTTCATTGAACTTAACGTTATTTAATATAATTATTAAAAGAACTGTCTTTACAAGATGGATACGTCAAACAGTGCTTACAAAAGCAATTTTTAAAACAGCATGAATAGGTAAAAAGGAACAGTATTCAACTACAAAACATTGAATCAGTACACAAGGGGAGCTAATTTTATTCCGTTAGGTAGTCAAAACGTTTTTCTTCACAGTTTAAACTTTGGTTAACTTTGAATGAATGTCATTTTGATTCAATTTTTTTGTTTGTTTTTAAATCAGACTGTATAAAATTTGAAAGATATTGAATATGTAAATATGTATTAAACAAAGTTTTTTTCAGTTAAGATAAAGAAAAACATATTCTTTTGCTTTCTTATGTTTAAAATTTCAAATCGATGTAAATTGTATAGGAAAAAATGATGAAAGATAATATGTTTATTTCAAGAAGTTAGTTCAGTATGAGTGTACTGTTTGCATCTCCTATGATCTCATGAGAGAATGCAACGGACATAGTAGTACCTTCGTTATCATTTTCCCCAAGGTAAATAATGACACTTAACTTGCTATCTGAAAAACAAAATGGAAAATGTAATCGAAGTGGACAATAGCATTGGTTTGCATATTTTTAATTTCTGCCAAGCAAAGTAATTAGAATATATTCTTACCAGATTCTTTGCATCCATGATTGAAAGACTTATTACAAGAAACATATTCTGTATATGAACCTCCTCTATACACTAAGCACGTAGTTGGCACAGGGATTTCTGTTAAGAATTTTATAAATATATATCTTTATTCAATTTATATACATGTATACATATATGAAAATGAAATGAATACATGCATTTATCGATCCATGCACTCTAATTATAGTTTTAATGTATACTTTTCACTATTCCTGACCAGCTGTCTCCCATTGTATACTTTTGTCCCGGTGCAAGTTTAGTCCTTAATTCCTCAAAGGATGAACTACTCTCATTTAGTTGGACAGGACTCATACAAAACTGACAGAGTTTTCCTGAGGTACCACAGTCTTGTTAAAATGCAAAGTATTAGATAAATATTTTGTTTAATGAAATCATTTATATAAAAATGTGTTGTTTATGTATAAAGTTTTTGATTTACCTGAACATTTTTCATTTTCCTCTATTCTTAGAATTTGCAAAATTACGACACCTTCAAAATATACATTAAAAGCTTTGGCAAATACTCTATTTATTCATTTATTATGTCACTGACGTAATAATATGTTAGTTCAATTGCTTTTATCCTTGATTAAACAAATGGCGAAAACGACATCTTAATGTATTTCATTTACATAAAAGTATCAAAATAGTTCAAGATTAGTAAATCTTGAAATCTTAGTCCTATTGGAAAATTTTAGCGAACGGATAAAAAGATCAGTGTGTTCCCATTTCGCCTTAATTGTGAAATACAGGTAAGAAAAAGTTAAAAATTACTAAGGCGAAATGGGAATTTTAGTATTTGTAAATAGTGTTACAAGGTTGACATAAAAATTTAAATGACAAAAACTTTTACATTGAATTTAACAATTAATGGAAATTTATGAATACTGTGAATGAAATTATAAGTGTAATACCAAAAAATACTTTATGTTAAATATATTAAATCTTCATCACCTTAATTCACCTGAGAGCTTACTAAGGAGATATGCTAAATTTTACAGTTAAGGCGAGATGGGAACAAACCAAAAGATCTAAGCGTAACCATAGATGTCATTTCGTTTTTTTAAAGCAAAGTTAACAAATTTCTTTTACCCCATGTCAGTTTATATTTGGCTTTTCCCAGCCAAGTATTATTCCTTACAACATCATCCTCAGTCGACACTCGTTGACCTAAAATTGCCCAGATTTTCAAGGAAGAAATCCATGTGATATCAGTTGAGAGTATTAATCCTGATAGACAGCTGAAAAACACATTAAACAAGATTTTAGTTGCAGTAATAAGATACCATACACATACAAAGATACGATAAAGATACGAAAGATAAGATACAAAGAATTTCATGTTTTCTAATGATATTAATTATTGACATAATGTTTCCTTTCTGCAATGAATGGTCTATTAATTAATATCAAAAATGTTTCATAATATAAATATCATGTTTGAATGTAACCTTTTCATATTGTATCCTGTTAATTTACAACTGTTTGTTATCCTAGGATAAGATAAGATAAGATAATATTTATTTGAAGTCGGGTACATTAACACATCAAAGAACATTAGAGCTATTTTCCGACTACTCATCACTATCATAAGAAACGAATTTTAAAAAAGCCATTAAAATTTGAATAATCTCTCCGAATATATAGTACAATGTACGAATTAAAAAATTTTTATAATAAAGAAATATCAAAATACCTGACAATTAGAAATATGTTTATTTCCATTCTGCCAAAGAACGTGATTTTTTCGGATATCCTTGCATTTATGTCAAATCTTATTTGAGGACATATTATTTATGATAATGACTTCATTCGGGAAATAAATAGCAAGGCTAAAATTTCGAAGCTTTTCAATACGCTGGCTTACCAATTATGGTATAAAATCTTAAAATGCGCTTGCGTATGAGTTTTATGTGGTGCGCTTGTAGACTGAAGTAAGTTTAACTTATCATACCAGCCTCTGCATATTTGGTAGGCAAGGAGAGTCTGTGTCATTCATAATGTTCCATTATTCAAGACATTCTGTATTCTTCATCTCTCATACAAATCATTGTCTGACGTCATGGCACCAGACAGTACTTGATATAGCCAACGCTTGTTGGTCAACTCGATCAATAGAATTCTTGTGAGATCATAATCTTGGAAACTTCATACTATCTTAACTATCAATTGGGGAACATAATGAAGAGAGGAGGAAACATGCTTAACACCCTAACAAGCCAGAGCATTAGAGCTGATGTCATTATCATCACATTTTACATTACAGTAAACACAACATTTGGCCATTCTTGAATGCATCATTTATGGTAAGCTAGACAGAAGGATTAATGCTAGTAAGGTAAACATCCGCTGATTCCTTTTATCAATTAACTAATTGATGTTTATTTTCGATGCATACTAATTTAAATCCATAATTTTGATAAAACTTTACAAATTTTCAGAAGTTACCCTGGACTTAATCTAGAAATAACCGGTAGGGGGTATTGGAGTGTTGTTTGAGAGTAATCTATTTCGCCATAATGTGTAATTTATGTGCATGCACACTGTCAAGCAAAACAAACATTAATACCTGTTTGGGGAGAAGTCATTCCTAATCTCTCTTCAGTGTTTTAAGAACAACATTTTTGTCTGGTATTTTCTATATGTTTTAAGTTTGACATAGGAATTTGCATACTGTATACAGGGTTATTTTCGCCCCGTCTTATTTTCGCGCTTTCACACTTGCCAACAATTTTGGCCCGTTTTAAATTCGCCCAATCATAGTTTTGTTTAAGAAATAATACTGAATTCTTTGAATTCGCCCCGTTTCAAATTCGCCCAAATGAGAGTTGGGCGAAAGGGGCGAAAATAAAACGGGGGCGAAAATTTCCCTGTATACAGTAATATGGCCTTTAAAGTCAAAGAAAATAACATAAAACTTTCCTCATGGTTCGTATTCTGTTTCATTGGAAGATCAGGTCTCCAAAAAGCACCTAGTTATTGGCAATTAGACATGCTAGCACATTTTTGATGACAACTTCAGAGTACTTGTGTGTACATGTAGAATGTTTTTAACAAAATAATTTTTGATATTGCCAAGGTTAGTATATTAACGATTTCCATTTTTATCGAAAAAGCAGCTTTCAATGATATCAAAATGCTTGGACTTTAATTTATCTTGGGAAATTGTCGTGTGTAAAGTTGAACATATATGCTTTCTAGTTATATATTTTACAGATTTAACTAATTTCTAATACCTAAAGTATAATTCTCAGATATTTTAATTAAGGTAAAACTGGGTCTATCAGAAAAAATAAATTAAAAAAGATTAATTCTGTGACGATATAACGTTCGTAACAAAATTTGCTTCCTGTAAATAATCCGGAAATTTATAACGATACAATGATACAATAAGCTGACAGACGTTTTGCTTAAAAATTGTTATGATATTATTCACACACTGAATTGTCTGCAAACTTTTTTCGTTTTTTTTCCCGTTCTTGTTTCAAGCAGGACACAGTGGATGAGACGGGGATGCTTAATTCATCATGGCTCTTGATTTCTCCTCTGATATTTAATGCGGTCTATTTTTGTGTATTTTGAATAAAAAATAAATAAACTAGGGTTGTAATGATAAAAATTATTTGACCAAAACATTTTATTTCTCCTTTTTACATACCTGGTACATGTAATGTTTATTTAAAATATCTGAAAAAGTCCTTTACAGTTTTGTTTTTAAAGAGACATTATTCATGTTGGCCACCAATATTGCTGTTGCTTCATCCACTTGCTTATTAGCTTCTTCCTTTGAAAGATTTCCTAAACTCACGGTTTTCTCTGGGTTTATGGAGACATTACAATAGTCGTCACTTTGATAAGATTTCCTGATCTTTCTCTTTTCGGCGGTTGTTGTTGATTTCTCAACCTTCTGGCACTTTTTCTTACCCTTTCTAACCTTTTCTTCACTATTAATATCATTTTCCTTCAAATATTTACTTCTACTCTCATTTTTACTTGTGTTTTCTGTTTTTGAGGAGGCTCTTTCATTTCCTCCGCATACCTCTTCAGGAGATATCGTTCCTCCCATTTGACCCGACGGAGTGTCGTTTCTTTCGGATTTGTTGTCGTTCTTTCTGTCTTCACTCGCTACATCTGAGTACAACTCAGGCTCACAAAGAACATTTTTATTTGTCTCCGAAAAATATCTTCTTTCATTTTGGCAAATTCCTGCTGAAATTCCCTTTTCACGCTGCTGAATATCGTTTGTTTTACATTCAAAATCATTAGCTTTATCATCACACCTTTTTGATTTCTGTTCGGTCTTCGGTGTTGCCATATTTGGTTCCTTGACTTGTAAGCTTTTATTATCATTTTTACTCAAAATCTCCTTAGGTTCAGCATTCTTCTGAATGTTTTCATTTAATAGTTCTTCATCAACTACAGTAGTGTCTAGATCATCCAGCTTCTGTTTGCTATATATCTCCTCATCCTGGTTAACTGTCACCGCTGTTTTCCTTACTTTCTCTACCTTGGTGTACTCATCTTCAGTTGATGCCAGGGTTGTCCAAGTGGTTGACCATACGTTGTCGTAGTCACTATTATGAGACATCGGTCTGACAAATCGTGTGTTGCTTTCCTCAGGGAGGCATCCCTCGTTTAAAGTGCCTAAATTTGACATAACCTTTGCATTTGAAGCAAGATCGTAGGCGAAATCCTTTTCTTCATTATTCGTCTTGTAGATGCACGTTATTGCTTCCGAAATCGGTCTTTCCTCTCTTTCATTGCAGTCTTTCCTACGAATATTTATCAGCTGTCTATTGACTTGTCGTTTGACACACCTAGAATAAACGAAACTAAATATTACATTATCATAATAGCATTTAAAGTAGAAATAGTGAATTATTCATTTAAGAAATTAATTTGATTTTTGAAGATTCAAGAGGTTATGAAGTACGACGCTTCACGTCGGCATATTTCATGAAGCGCTTTAGCGCTTCATGATAAATATGCCGGCGTGAAGCGTTGTAGTTCATACACCTCATGAATCTTCAAAAATTAAATTCATTTCTTATATCTACACTATTTTTCTGATGACGTGCCATCAATTAACATCATTCAACTGCCATTTTTAAAGCAAAACAGTGTGCACTATATTTTTTGACGTCAAGTGCGGTTTTATGATTGTGACGTAACAATAGAGGTATTCATGCATATTCCTGGTAGCAAGTCGTAGTTCATGAGAAAATAAACTGCATTTTATTTTGTAAAGAATCATAGGGGAAATTTATTAGAAATGTAAATATTATGTTTTAAAACAAAAACGAAAGTAAAACAAAGGGAGCCAGCATTCAGGGCACTGAATACAAACCAGTAAATACACGTGATATTGAAAATGATCAACAAGACAAGCACTCCACCAACGACAGGCAAGTAGGTGGCGCAGTTCTCCAGAAGATAGAGCCATAAACATTCCAGTGCTGTAAAATATAACATTAAGTAATAAAATTACAGTTCAAAACGTATTATAGTGTAAGGATGGATTTTACATAAAAATTAAAAAGTCAAACATGTCCTATTTCTTGGAGATTCTTTACTTCTACTTTACGCCTTGTATAACCATCATTTAATGTTTTCTATACTCTTAATGAGCATGTTTAATTTAACTATTAATTCTGATTATCTTTATACTTGTATTTCACTTTCTTCATATAAAAGAAAATTAGCATTTAATTTCCAAGAAGGAAAAAAATCGCTTTGCTTTATAAACCTTTACTTACAAACAAGTCGATGAAACCAAAAAAATTCAGCTGTCTCGTTTAAAGTCAGCATTTCGTAAGTTCTATGGTCGAGTACTTGACCTTGTCAGCAAATACAATTTATCATTTAGTCAAATGCTGACTGATGTTTTTCATACCTATTGTTAGTCCATTATTTCTATACTGAATTGACGATTGATTTTCCCGTTATTTCCTGATCATGACAAGGAGCACATGGCGAATGTGGGCGGTTGGCAGGGGATGCTCACTCCTCCATGGCACCTGATCCCACCTCCGATGATTTGGAGGTCCGTGTTTGCTTTGCTCCTATTTTGTATTGTTTTATGAACTTTTAATTTTAAATACTTAGGCCTGTTCAGCAGAGCGAGCGTTCGCCAAAATTACTATTGGAGGTATAAGGAATTTTGGCGAGACCTCGCGAACCCTCGCTCTGCTGAACAGGCCTCTGTTCGTTATCTCTATGTCTTTCATTACATATGATTCAAAGCAATTGAAAACTAATCTTTTTTCAGTTAAAAAAAGCACACTTTCCTAAGGCTACGATTAATTTTTGTCACTGATGATATGCTTATAAATCATCATTTTTACGTCAAAAAATATATTCTTATATTACCCCGTAGCTTCTCACATTGATTAGCACTAGTGTTGTTATTCATACTGCCTTCCTGTGGTTGATTTGTCACTGTGATAGTCTTTCAAATTTTGTATCTACAGATCTTTATCTAAGAGGAAGCTGAGAAAAGGAAAAAATCAAATCGATCAGACAGAACTTAGATAAAACCTTTAAAATAACATTAATAATAATATAAAAAAAATTTTCAGGAGGGGGTGGGAGTATTTTGGTTGTTATGACGATTAAAATCATGAACTTTAAAATATATTTTTCTAAAAGCTAAACACTTTTCTTTCTACATTAATAATAAATTAAAAGTATGACTGAAACAAACTGTAAAATTGCTCATTTGTCAAAGCAAGTAATTTCAATTTATCACAAAGAGCCAATAACAATTCCCTTAAATTTCCCAAATGGGAACGCTAATATGTATAGGAAAATACTGATGTCATTAGAAAAAATAAAGAAAATAATAACATACCTGCCAATCAATCAACTGTATGTCTATTGAAAGTACATCATCTGTTTTTTGAAGTTTTTTTTAACATCAATTAAGTTTTTTTGAAGACAGAAAATATTTAACGTATTCAATGTGGCCTTTCAAATCCAGGAAAATGAAACTCAGAAAGGCATAAAAATCAGGATGTTTAGAATTATGAGTCATGCAAGGAAGTTGTCTGTTATCAAAAAAGTCTGCAAATTATTAATATTATTTTTTAATATAGTTTACAATTTCACGTGTTTTAATCGAAACAAAGATATTTTGTGATATAGAAGGTGATATTCCTAATTCAAGCAATTACAGATACTTAATGCTTTAGATTTCTACCTTAGGTAGATGTAACAGAAAATAATGTGAAAATAATGTGACAGGCCATTTTAAAAAGCTCAAAAGCAACCAAGCCTTATTATAAACGTGATGGCTTTAACTTTTTAATCGTCACCTTCCTTTATTTAAGCAGTTATATACCTTCATCACCTACAAACGGAGTTTGTAAATCTCGATTCGAAACACAAGAGCATGTTTTACGTAAGAACATTTTCTAAAACGAGGAAAATTATTGACAAACAAGTTCCTGAAGCAAGAATATCAGCAGTCTTGTGTTTAAAGAATAATTATTTTTGTAAGTTCTAGGTCGATACAATGACCTTGTCAGTAATACAATTTGTTACAAAATTGAATTGACGACGGATTTTTCCAATGTTTTAGCATGTTTTAATGAACAATTTCATATCAAGTGAGTGTACAATCAGAATGTTTTACGGAATAAAAGGTTCACTCCACAATTGATAAAATAGCTGTTTTTGATTTTAAAATGCCTAAACTTATTTTTGTGTATAAATGGTGTAAGCGTGTTGAAAGAATGCACGATTGATGATTTGGACCTTAGCAAAACTACTGATTTCAATTTGTTAAGTGGAGTTTCAAAGCACCCACATCTGTTTGGTACCACTTCCTGAAATAGTCCTGCATGTTTGAATGTTGACAGTATAATAAGATAAATATATAGTCTGGTATGATTAACATTGCTATTTGTTAAGATCAAATATAGAGACTAAAAACACATAGAGTATCAGGAAGACCAGCCTTTTATTGTACGAGTTCGTACAAACATCGACTAATTTTATGCCACTTAATATAGCATTTGTACCCTAAACATGCCCACGATATATTTCTGTTAAATATAAATCATATATCCTTTCCTTCCTTGTTCGACTTTTATACCTGTTTTTAGAGTTGTGTCATATGTAGAGCTGAATTTAACATGTTTTACCAACTTTTCTTCCGAACAGTCTGAAATCCTCAATAAATCGAACACCGAGAACTAAATTTCATTATACAAAACTTTTTCTTTCATAGCCGAATTACATACCTCAATAATATGATTTATCATTTTGGGATTTCTACATATCCGCACATGCATATATAAAACTGAATCGCTTGAGAAAGTATGAATATGTCAGCTACTGTTAATATATATCTGTTCATCAACAGAGCTATTTCTGTTACGTGTACACGATGAACATGAAGTATATAATGTACATCAGGACTAATGTGTTTTTTTTTTAATGTAAAATCGCATTTACTATGGTTTTGATACTTTCGGCGTGTTGTGATTGAGATTAAAACAAAGTATCTGGAGCTGAAGTTAAGAGTAAATACCCACAGAACGTTTTGCTTCTGTTGTTGTATGTTAAGAACTTTTTATCAGTCATAGTCTAGAATGAGACCCCCAATACGACAATGAAGTATTGTTCTGCAAGCTGAATATTGTTAAGAACTTGTAAAGAACTCTGTATCAGTCATAGTTGAGAAAGTGACCCCAATACAACTTTGAGGTATTGTTTCCAAGCTGCATCTTGTCCCTCTCACTGGAGATAAGGATAAGAAAGATCGATGGGCAAACTGCAAATTGCAAAGAAATTATAACTTTAAATATTTAAATGTTTCATTTTAAGTACTTGAATAGAGGGCTTTTCCAAGTGCTTAATATGTTTATATTCCCTTTTATTCTCTGCGTGAAATATATTTTTCTAATAAATAGATAATGCTAAGTCGCCTTTAAATACATAGCCGTAAAATCAAAAAACTATAGATTTAATACTTTTAAATACGAATAGATTTTTCCGACTTGTTAAAAAGTATATCTTATCATTTTCAAGAAAAAATATAATTTATGATAGAGGAAGAAATTAGCATTATAAATAGGATTATGTATGCAGCTGTGCAAATAAGGAACCAACATTTTTCCATATAAGTAAAGCATCACTCAAAGCAACTCTTGAGGAAGTAACGTCACGTGTCAAACAGCTGCCCTTATTAAAGGCAGGTCCTTATAATATATGTGTATGCTGTCTTTGATTATTAAGCACCAACCCAAATAAATCAACTGATAAGTATATTGTCTCTCATTGTAAGCTTTTGAATCATTGCTTGGAAGAATCATCAGCCAAAAAAAAAAACACAATTGTTGAAGAGAATCTTTTTTAAACACTCAAAATTATAGTAAATTAATTTTCAACAAATTTATTTCTGAAAAAATAAAACATTTTTGTTACTAACCTAAGTGTGATATTTATCATGTGAATCGGTACGCACTGCAAAAAAGTTATTTTATATGATATTATGTAGGGTAGAATGGAACTTAGAATTAAACTATCTGGCATTACGCAAAAAATCTTCTGTCAAGTATATTTCTAAATAATAATTTTCTGTTTATTAAAAAAGTAAATTTAAACTATTAATAATAAACTAGGAGCTTAAGATAATTAATCATCGAGGCATCTTTATCGTGTCAAAGCCTCTGGTACTAGGTTTTTTAAGTCCTTGTCTATTACTATCATAACTTTTACAATAAAACACTGAGTGCTTGGCAGAAGAACAGTTTCCAACTATCTTTTAGGTTAGTCCAGGCGGAGGTTTGAACTCACAATCATCCGATCTCGGAGTAAAGGCTCTACCGACTTATTTAGGTGACGATTTTTTTTTTAAAATTAATATGCTATCGTTTAAAATATTTTATATGTAACTTAATATCAATCAATTATAGATTCAAACACTATCAACAGGAATCACATATTTTTTTTTATAAACGGAAAATTGAGAAGAGCTAGGTTCATTCATTAGACATGGTCTTTTTACCATGACCAAATACAATATATCAATGTCATATGCAGATTGTATGAATTATCTTCAATGTTATGCCAATATTAAGCAAGTTATATATATTCCTGATGTCACATATTTACTGTAACATATACACCTGTCTACGGATTTTCACGTTATTTCAAGATCATGAAGAAGACAAACGGCAGATGTGACCGGTCGACAGGGGATTCTCACTTCTCCATGGCATTAGATCACACCTCTTTTATTCAAGAGGTCTGCGTTTTTCTCTTCTGATTCTTTATTACTTGGATAGACCTTAACTTGAATACTGCTCATTTTCTCCAAATTTTATCCATTTGATATTCACTCAAAACCATGTACATGGTACATGAGGTACAGAAACATATAAAACATATATACATATAGTACAGTGGGTCAAGCAGAATGTGATAATTAAGGAGAACGGACAATACTATTATTTTTAGAAATAAATGTGCATAATTGTTTCTAGGATTCAACATCAATTTGGCACATGACTTCACAAAACTTGGTAATATTTCAATAAGAGCAAAATTTTTCGTTCAAATAAACTTTCATGTTGGATTTAAGCTCTACAATATAGCTCTTAAATATAATGATACTCATCTCCTATCTGGTTACTACTGCATAAGCTACAAAATCTTTCATTTCTCTGAGTACCATTCCATGTACCTGTTTCAACTGGAAGGTGGTGATTTGTGGTTCTAAACTTAACAAAAGTTATACTTAATTTAAATAATAACAGTGTTAAATATTTTTCGCATTTTAGTGTCTGCTCCTACATATGAAATAGTCTGTTGTCCGTGTTTATGCATCACATCTGTATAGTTTTGTAATTTTATGGAGTTTATCACTTGTTACTTCTTTATATAACAGAGGAGAGGAAAAGTACGTACCTTTCTGAACAAATTTAATCTCTTTAGGGACCTATAAAAAAGATGTTTTATATTATGGTCGTGTTTTTAAAGTCAAAGCCTAAAAATAGCCAAAATTCAGAAATTTAAAAATTCAATATTCCAATTTTTTAAATGATGAAAAAAAATTAAATCAGTTTTAAAATGTTTTTTTTTTTTATTTCATTGTTTCACCAACATGCTATTTTCTGAACATGTTTGTTAAGTAAATGTAATTTTGAGATAATTCTGTAATTATTTTTTAAGCAAATTATTAAAACGATTCTAGGATTAGGTCCATGATGTAAGGATATGTTATTTTGGGAGGTTTGAACCAACTTGCACTTCCTTGCACACAAATATGCCTAATTATTGCCTTTCATAACTCCTTTATTTGAAATGTTTCCAGAGCATTTTCCGTGAAATTCTACAAAATTACCACTAGTACATCTCTCAAAACATGTAAAACATGCCCTGGATAAGGAAAATATTTATAACATGTACCTATAATATGAAAATAGTATAATGAGAAAATGTGAGCTTACTTTCAGTTCTTGGAATTTCGAAACACATCACATAAAGATTTATGAATATTTTCACATTTTTATTTAAAATGGCATTCATTGGGAACAATCGAATTTTTTTTGAGGAGGGGATTGTATATCTTTATTCATTATTTTTCTTTATCGAGACCAAATTGGCAAAAATGAAATCTCCAACGTAAAAATGGTAACAACATTGGGAGTAAAAAAACGATAAAAATAATGTTTTCTTCCTCGTTTAAAGTTTTCATTAAAAATTATATTGTGGCTTGTGTTGTATCAAGTACTTCATTCTGTTTTACGTCTTTTAATAATCCCAATCAATCTGACTTCATCTTCCACAAACAAACAAAATGAATACAATCTAGTTTTTAATATTTAATCAGTCTGTAAATCGTCGAAACACATATTGAGCATTTGGATAAATATGTTATATAATCTGTCGAATAAAAATGTTAAAAAAATATTTTTATGTTTCCTTGTACGTGTAGAAAAAATGTAAAAGGATAAAAAATGTCTATAAACATTATCCACTTGTTCGGTCAAATTGATAATATATCAGTACAAACTAGCCTCCTGTTGGTACAGTGTAGCACGGGGATGTTTCAATTTCCTGGAACATTTCTTTGTTGGTCATATCCGGTATGCTCTTTGATGGTCTTTGTTTTACCATTAATTTCACTATTTGTATCAGGAATGTATAGAATTACAATGTTATTGATATTATTTGGTGAGTTCTATTTAGACCTTAGAACAATTTATTAGTTGTTTAAGTTATCTGAATCCATCACTTAGTTTTTTGGGGTTTTGTTTTTTTTAGCATAAGTTTGCCTAAATTAGAATTCTGTTGGACATTATTGACAGTAAGAAAAGGTTTCTTACAGCATATATAAGTTTGACTCTAAGAACCTCAGCATGTTCTTCTGCGAGTAGTTGGGAACAAGGTTTAGAGGGATGCTTGGAACAAAGGAAACGACCCGTGACCCTCAGGGATTCCTCACTGTTAAAGAAGGACACGTGGATCTATGGCGCGAGATTCAAACTTTCTATTGGTTGGTATAAATGATATATTGTGAAATGCTTAGGATATGATTATCTAGGTTGCAAGTTCTGTTTGTGACATGTTTAAGTTCATGAATGATTATCTCTGATATATGTTGTTTTTGTGAAATCAATTTTTTAGTTTTTGATTTAATATGTTTGAAATGTTGTCACAGGTGGGGCCATCATAATACAGATGAGGCGACTTGAACAAGAGAAAAAGCTAATATGTAAGATAAAACTATATCAAGAAAAGATGAGGTAAAACTATCTAAAGAAAATGAGAACAAAGGCGTCTTTTAGAGATAAAAAATAATGACGTTCTAGTAATTCCCTTATTCAAAAATAAAACAATTGTTGTAAACAAGTCATGAGAGAAACTGAAAATGCCAGAAATCACACTAAATGGAAATGGAAAGTCTATAAGTTCTTTTCAGTAGTAAAAAAGTTGCAATTTAGTTTGTCAGTTTTATGTAATCAACAAGGTAATTAAGAAAAAAAATTAATGCTTTACAATCTGATTATTCCTTAATATTTTAATTATTTTTATAAATTCATAGTACTGACAACACTCAACAAGCCAACCAGTGCAATGTTTTGTCTTGTGTAACAGTTTATAATTAAAGCACTTTTTAGAAACTAAATGAAGCTATACTTGTTGAAGAGTATTTAGCACTATCTACAATGAAAATGACAAAGTATTTTGTCAAATGTTTTTGAGGTGAAAACAGCTTTGAGAAAGAAAGTACCACGAGTGCGACCTCGATTGTGTTCGGGAAGAACAGATCCACTTTAGTAAGAGAACGACAAAAGATGAATCCCGGAATACAGTACACGTTGTATGATGATGATTTTAAGGGTATAACTCAAATGAATGTAAACAATTTTCTTTGTTGGACTCTTTTGAATCTAATTTTAATTCTTCGTATTCATTTACGTTATTTATTTTTGACAGATTACCCTGATCCGGATGAGTGTATGATGTATGTTGTGGTTGACACACAATTTGTGTTTAGAAATTGCAGTACAATACAAAGAGTTCAATGCATAAATGGTATTTTCTCTTTTTCATATTAAAATTTTAAATTTTAAACAAATAAAACAAAAGTTATGATGTGCAATTTTTATGAGATTAACCCCCCCCAAAAAAAAAAAATCTAGATAAAAGCCAGCATAATGATAGATGATTCTTTATTATGAAGAATTTCTATAACAGTAGTTAATTATCGGCAGAGGGAAAGTCACTTTAAATGGCACCTGATCCCACATCTGATTTTTAGAGGGTTCGTGTTTGCTTTGCTCCTATCTTGTATTGTTTGAATGAAATTTGACAACTGTTTGCATATATTTCATTTAGAAACTAATGAAAACTATGTTGTAAGAGCGTGTTTTCAAAAGAACCCTGATAGTTTTGACTGTATGCCAGAAATGAACGAGATGAAATCAACAAGAACAGGTCAGAATATGTATTTTCTTGAAAATGTTTGAATATGGAAAGCCAACCAACTATTAAATATTTACTTACAACTGGTTTAAATATTTTCTTTTTAACATAATAAAAATTAAAAAAGAGTGATTCATATAAATATGGATAGATATTCTAAAATGGGTTGTGTTATTTAAATTAGTTGTAAGTGTGCCTGTAAGTTTTATATAGTTTAAAATTAAGATCAATTTTATGTGAAGTCAATGAAATGACTCTATTTATGCGTTTGGAAGACAAACTGTTAACTATATGAGCAATTTTTTTTCGACCAAGTTGCAAGTATCCATGTAGAAAAATTGTAAGCTTCGTTGATATGTTTCATTTAAAAAGTATTGTTATTTCTCGTGGAATTTTACTTTAGCAGGGAAATGTCCCTTACCTACTTTCTGCCTCTGGAAAGGTGTTTGTGAAATCATTCTTCTTGGAGGAATTCTGTTTGTGTATGCCATCTTCAGTTTTATTTGCATAAAGTGGTAAGGAAATTAAAGAAACTAATAAACTTCAATCAATTTTATCAAATTTCCTCTCAACTTTTATTTATTTATTATTGTATTTTCTTTTGAAAATTATAGCTGTACCAAATACCAAGTGAGAAGAATACTAAAGAACAAACGCAATGAAGATTTCTCAACTAATTATGTAGATGACCCTAAGACACAGATATACACGTACTCCTATAAAAGGGAACCCGAGGAAAATTGGACAGTTCAAGAAATTAATTATGCTTTTGTAGATTGGGGTACAGGGTTTAAGAATACAAGCGTATAATTCAGAATGTGTATATTTCACAATTAACTAGTGCAATAAAAACAAGAGGCCCAGGGGCCACAGCGCTCACCTGAGCACATCAGCTAGGAAAAAAACACATATCAGATCAGAACTGTAAGTTAACTTAAGTGGGGGGTTGGGGGGGGGGGGGCTTGAATTTTAACCCCCAAGGGGATCATAATTTGAACGAACTAGAATCTACATTACCTGAGGATGATTCCATATAAATATTACTAATCATGGCTTTGAAGTGCTTGAAAAGAAGATTTAAAAAGGTTTCCATATATTTCTATGTAAAACTTTGGTCAGCAATTTGGCCACACCCTTACCCCCAGGGGTCATGACTTAACAAACTTGAATCTACATTACCTGAGGATAATTTCACATTACTTTCATCTTTCCTGATTCAATGTTTCTTGAGAAGAAGATTTTTTTAAAGATTTTCCTACATATTCCCATCTAAAACTTGATCGGCCATTTTGGCCCCGCCCTTCCCCCGGGGATCATGACTTGAACAAACTTGAATCTACACTACCTGAGGATGATTCCACATGAGTTTCATCTTTCCTGGCCCAGTGGTTCTTGAGAAGAAGATTTTTAAAGATTTTTCCTATATATTCCTATGTAAAACTTTGATCGGCCATTTTGGCCCCGCCCTACCCCCGGGGGTCATGACTTGAACAAACTTGAATCTACACTACCTGAGGATGATTCCACATGAGTTTCATCTTTCCTGGCCCAGTGGTTCTTGAGAAGAAGATTTTTAAAGTTTTTTCCGATATATTCCTGTGTAAAACTTTGATCGGCCATTTTGGCCCGGCCCTACCCCCGGGGGTCATGACTTGAACAAACTTGAATTTACACTACCTGAGGATGATTCCACATGAGTTTCTTCTTTCCTGGCCCAGTGGTTCTTGAGAAGAAGATTTTTTAAAAATGCCAATAATTTTTCTCTTAATTATGATTATCTCCCCTTTGAAAAGGGCGTGGCCCTTCATTTGAACAAACTTGAATCCCCTTCACCCAAGAATTCTTTGTGGCAAGTTTGGTTGAAATTGGCCCAGTGGCTCTTGAGAAGAAGATGAAAATGTGAAAAGTTTACAACGACAACAACGACTACGACGACAACAACGACAACGACGACTACGACGACAGACAACGGACAAATTTTGATCAGAAAAGCTCACTTGAGCCTTCGGCTCAGGTGAGCTAAAAACATAATCAGTATAAATAAAAAAAGAACACTATATTTAATCTGATTTATTTACATCCAATTCAGGAAATTAGAAACCAGGTTTAATTAACATTGAATTACATGTTTATTATCTCAGTAAATAAAATAAAAATCATGAATCACTGTGAATAAGTGGTGTTGTAAGGTGCCAATTTATGCTTATTTAATTTGTTGTTTTTATGTTTATGTACATGTATCACATTGAAAATGAATGTATATTTATAATTCTCAAGTGTGTCTTACTTTGAATTATCTTACACCACAGGAAAATGAATGATCAACAAATTAAATGATATTGACTTTCCTGTAGTTTTCATTTTTATTGAAAGGTACATATTTATCCATAAAAACATTGACTAATTGCTAGATTCAGATAATTGTATTGAATAATTGAGTCATTAATTAGGAATTGAACGTTTACAATGTATAAATAAATGAATGACGAAAAGTGAGTTTCTAATCTAATGAAATAATTTTTTCCAGATCAATCACCCCAGTGTCATTTCAACACAAATTTATTGTATTAGTATCTTTTCCTGTAAACTTCTAATGTTAAAAGCGTCCATAACGTGTTATCTCCGATGAAATGATGATTTTCCTGCATTTAGGATTATTTATTTATAATTCATAATTAATATATTTAAAAGTATTTCCAATGTCAAGAGGGTTTTGGCGGTTCATTTAAAATATATATTATTTTGTCTCATCATGAACTTTATCCATTTTGCAATCGATAGGAAAAGGAAGTTGATACACTTCAAAAGGAAATTTCATATTGAGGATGGTCTGTTTTCATAATAATTTAAGTAGGGCATTAGCATCACTCCTCTAGTCGTATCGCTATCGTTGCTAAATTAACAGTTTTTAATTGTTTAATGTATTTTTCTCGCGCTGATATAACGCCAGGAAATTTGATTATCTAATAAAGGTTAACCTCTTCTTTCAACTGAGCAAAGTCTGATTATACCAAATACTAATATTCACTTCATAAGTTTTGATTCCAAACAGACTTTATATATGTTACAAATGATTGTTCAATTCAATGGCCTTTAAAAAAGAAGGCATCTTTCACATATAAGTAGTAAATGCACACTTAGCTGAACTAAAGTTGTCAAATTCGAAAAAATTTTTTTAGATTTAATTTTTTAGATTACTCAGAAAGAAAAGTTTTATTTTTAAAAATCCTCTGTCAATATGTTACACCACAAAATTTGACAGTTTCTTTAAAGGTTGCTAGAATATTTACAATAGATGTACAGTGTCTTTTTGGAAAAACACAATAAAATAAAGAATTCGCATTGTCATTTTCAACTTTTTAAAACAAAATTTGTATTTTTATAGTAAATAAATCTGGCTATGAGGCGATAAAAATTACATGAGCTTACTTTTAAAATCAGTTCGACGATTTTTATATAGTTCTCTTCGAATTTCTCTTGGAATTTTTTAAAAACCTTATCTTAATTATATTCATGGCTCCTGTATCTGACTTTATTTTACAAGTACAAAGTTCATTCTTTAAAGCTTTCCTTCGTCATTTCTTTTTATGCCAGCTGCATGGATTTTGTGGTAAATATACAATCCTCCTGGTTCTTGTTATTCTGAGATCAGTAGTGGACCAGGTGAAGCCAAAATTTAGGATTTGAAACTGAACTTTGAGCTTAGATTCTGAGATTTTCAAGTTGGTTGGCCTGAACCATGATAAATCTAATATCAGTAGTGGGCACTGATGGGTTAAGTGAAGCGGAAATCGAGGACTTAAGACCGAAATTTGAGATGAGATTTGTACAATTTGGTCGTCCCGAATCCTGGTACACCCCAGATTAGTAGTATACACCTGTCCATTCCTCTGAGGGATATCCATCTGTTATATCTACCCCGCATCTCAGCGACATCTGGCGTCTTGTGAAACTACACATCTCCCTCTTTTCCGAGTTACTCGGGGAGAAGATAGGGGGTAGAATCTTTGTTTTATCTAACAACCAGTATGTGAACATTTCTCCTTTTCCCTGAAATGTCAAGTGTATACAAATGTATTCAACTTGGTAGAAAAAAAGTATATACTAAGAAACATAAAGAACCCAATGATCATATAGCAAACTTGGGTTAAAAAGAACTAAGTTTGAATGTTACTCTTTGTTTTGTAAAAGGATTAAAAAAGTTCGGTTGGAAGAAAACCACATTTGATGTCAAGGACTTTCTTTAAATACTGTCATTTTTTAGTATTTATTTCCTCTGTTCGAAATATAATGTGTCTTCTTTTATTTATTATCTTTTCTATCATCTCATAATTTTATTTATTTATAACAAGGCTTTATCATAAACGTGATGACTTGAACTTTGCAATCGTCAGCTTCCTTAATGAGGTTTATATTTCTCAGTAGACTCGATAAGCAAAAGTATGCCTACGTAACGAACACTTTCTTAATCGTGATTAATCACGAATATCATCAGGCTCGTTTGAAGTCATCATTTTACGGTTGTCATTCCACTTATTTAGTAGTTATTCATATTATTATACATTTATATTATAGCAGAAGAATCATCACAAGGATCACATGGCGAGTGTAATCGACAAGGAATGCTCACTCCTCCATGGCACCAGATCACACCACAACTTTAAGAAGTTCGTGTTTTCTCTCCTCCTTATTTGTATTCTTTGACTGGACTTTTTGGTTGAATAATGCTCGTTATCTGAATATTTTCAATTTTATCTTTCCTGTAAATTTATTATTATACGAAAGGAATTAATTATCGCGTAATTTTGCGACAAGCACCATTTGCAATTTAAAATTACTAGCTTTTATTTAAGACTGAAATCAGTGTTAGACCTCTAAATCAACTGTCTACTCGCTAATTATTGTTCACGCCATTTGGCGCGAAAGAGGCGTTTCGCGACAATAAGTGCTAACGAAAAATAAGGAACCTACAGTATTTTGTATACAAAACTATACCTTTATTTTTATATTTCCTCTGTCGACCATATCATACCCTCCAAGATTTTGCAACGCAGTCTTTGTATTTTCTGTAATATGTATCTTGCCACCTGCTCAAAAATATTATTGAATTTTAAATCTTTAAAAATACAGAAATTTAGGGAAAATTGTCAATCCTCATCTTTCTGGTTTGTTTTTAAACTTCACACTTTTCTTATTTCAATGATCCAGAATGTTTAAGGTAGAAAGAAAGATAATCCACAAAACGGGGAAGTCCTTTAAAAATAAATATCACCTTCTCCATTAGATTCCATTCTGGAGGCTGTGTTCACGGTATCCCCAAATAGACAGTAGCGGGGCATCGTCTGTCCTACTACACCTAGAAGTGATATAATATGATATAAATAAATAATCAAAGTACTGAAAGTACTGATAAATAAAAATCTAGAGTAGCGTAGCATCATCTGTCCCACTTCACCTAGAAATAAAACAATATAATATGTGACGCGCCAAGCAAAAACCTCCCTTATGTCTATTATGACGTAACGTCAAAAGACGCGTCTAAAGTCAACAAGGTAAATGCGACGTAAAAACGTCTCCTTGAGAGAAACTCTCCGCAACAGAACAGGGGGATGTTGTTTTATATATACACTAAGACAGATTCTTAGGTGTAATTTGATGTAGTTTATTTATGTGATTTAAGTGGCTGTGTGATATCTCCTTTTCACAATTAAGTGTGTATTTTTTAAAGATTTCGAGTGGTGGCTGAAGAATTCCCGTAAGGCCGTTTTTAAAATGAAGTTTGTTTGCCTTCTCCCTATTCGGGTTAAAAAATTACATTGGTAGGTAGGTCGAATTTTTTTTGTCGGAAATTTTCAATGTTGAAAAAGATTGAAGGCATTAAAGTTGTTGATAGGATGAGAAAATCCCGGAATAAATTATTTGGAAGTTTTAAAAAAGATTTTAGTCGGTTCATTTTAAAAGGTTAAACAAACAAGTTTTTAAAGATAGTTTTTTTTTTTATAGTTTAATGTCCAGCTGTTTCATCGCAATGCACATGCAATTTAACAGGAGCATTAAACTATAAGGTATTTTTATTTAAATAGCGATGCAATGAAAATTGACCTGAATTACTTCTCTTTTAATTGTGGAATGAATTTAACGGTGTAAACTGGTTTGGGACAGTTAACGCTGCCGTTTATATAAATAAAACATGAACTGTTATTGATAAATATTTAAGTTTAATTTTAAAAAAGTATTCTCTATAGGTACGACACAGAGTATTTGATTTGGACACTTCTTCCGGAATTAGTTTTAGCTGTCGATTTTAAATGAATATTTTGAAGAAAGACCTTTTGAGCTTCTAAATCTGTTTTATTGTTGAACACGTTCTCATGTTGTACAAAAAATGTAGAAAAAATTCTTCCCCCCCCCTTTCCCTTTCTTCTGTGTCGCATGTCTGCTTTATTTCTTTGGATACTTCGTGCTAATTTCGTCTTGAATTTACGGATGCTCGCATACATTGTAAGTTACAGTCCCACTGTCTAAAATATTTCATGATTGAGAATTAAACAGATTGAACGTATGTTTATCGACCTTTTCATAATCTGTTTGATGAGGTTATACACAATACACCGAATGTAAAAATGGCATAGAATGTTAAAATGGCAAACATGATACATCGCTTAAATGTTATAATTAATTCAAATTGTTACAAATTCATACAATCTGTTTGAACAGTTTTAAAACATCTCAACCTATTATTATTTTGTGCATGGTTTATCTACATGTACTAACGAAGATTCTGGAGTTCTGGATTCCTGAAAACAACATAATTTCGGTCATGTATAAAATCGCTGAATCAGGCTGTTGCATGTACATGTAGTAACGTCTCCGGTGCTCATCACATTCAGCCCTTTTTAAAACATCAATGCAGTATGAGAGTATAAATTAAACGTTTTAGAGGTTAAAGACTTTCTTTTTAATGATTTTATTTTAACCTTTAGTATTAAGGATTATTTAACCTGAAGTAATTATTTCCCCGACAAAGACTTTACTACCAACATTTCACGATTTAACATCTACCTTCGAAAATAATAATCTTGTTTCCCTCTGTTGAATCGCAATTAAATGAATATGTATATGCGTTTCAAATTATGAAAATTTGCTACCAATTACACGTTATTTATTAAATATAAACATGTAACAAACTTTTACAATGTTAATAAATTTTTCCTGCAAAAGTTGCATTGAACATGTACATGTATTGGCAGTTTAATGCAAAATTAGTACGGTACAAATCTGCTCAAAACACTGGCGTCGGAAGCAAATTGAAAGTGGGGGGGGGGGGGGGGGGGGGTAGGTATAAGGAATTTTTAAACCATCAAAAAGACCTGACAAGCAATAAAAAAAGGAAATGTGCGTTGGTTAAACACGAAAATCCAATTACCCCGGGGGGGGGGGGGGGGGGGGGGGGGGGGGTGTTAGGTTCGAACTCCAAACCTTTTTTTCCAAACACACCACTTTCCCCATTTTAAGCCTATATTGCAACATGTCTATGGAAAGTGGGGGGGGGGGGGGCTAAGCCTACGCAGCAATGTCCAATGTCTATATTAATATATCTTTGAGAAAAAAAGGAGGGTTTATCTCCTGCTACTCCCCCCCCCCCCCCCACCTGGGTTCCGACGCTTATGCAAAATATATTAATCCGAGGTAATTAATATGCCTATATTTGTTCAATATATATGGAAGTTGGAGTATGTAAATACATGTATCTGAATATATTATACTTAAGTCAATGATCAAATGGCTCTATATTCTAAGATAAAGGATTTATCGAACATAAAAAATACATGTTGGTCGGCTTGAATATTGCATGCTTGATCAACTAACCCATTCATATATGTACATCTTCTCGTGTATAAAAAATGTATAAATTACAACAATGAAGTATTTTTTAAAAAATAACAAAAGTTACAGCTTAAAATTGTACATGTGTGCCTTGTTCTTGTTTAATTAATTCAGGTAATCAATTAAGCGTGAATGTCCATAGCTGAGACATGCCCCCCCTCCCGTTTACGATGATCGAAGAATATTACATGTAAAAATGTTTTACCCGTTCTCTTACTTTCTGTTGCTATTTTTAACATGCATGTTTTAACCAATGCTAAAATGTAACTAGCATTTAAGATGATTTAAATAAATCATAATGTGTGCATATACTTTCTCAGGAAGGTAACAGTGAAGCTTAGTATAAGCCTTACATTCTATTCCTAGAAATGAAGTTGTGTAGTGTACGTGTCACTTTGGGATTCATATAAAATTTATATTCTGGTATTGTGGTTTGTTATTCGGCTTATATACAATGATCGGTTCAAAATTAATTCACGATTAACTTCATACATATAAATTGCAGATTTGTTTTTTATTTAACAAGATTTACGTATTATTTAGAGAACGAGACGGGTTCTGTATCGTAGATACAAATTTGGGGGCAGACGAGTGCGAAAGCACGAGTCTCCGCCCCTAAATTTGTATCTACGATACAGAACCTGTCGAGTTCTCTAAATGATTTGTGACAGGATCAATCAAAAATAGCGCCGCCCACTTTATAACTTTGCAGCATCCAAACTTCCGCCAGAGTTCTGTATAGATGAGGCCCCAACGGGGAGTAAGCACCCGCAGTATATATATTTCCACGGAAAACGTAATATTCGGTCAGATTAGTTTTGACAATTTAACGGGATAGACGCGAACGAGTGATAGTCAGTCTTAATGGATAAATTGGAGGATTTAACCGTAATTGTTGTGATCTATTGTTATAATTGTAGATGGAGATTTATCATAATTTATTTCAGGGGTCTTAAAATCCCGGTTTAACTAGATTTACAAAAACAGGATTTACAGAAAATTCTTCGATGGACTTTGATGTCACGGATTTTTATTTTCAAATTGAATTTCGACATTAAAAACGAAGTGAAAGAGACGTGTGGCTGTCGTCAGCGAGAAGGATTTCAAAAATTAAAAGCACGGAAAAAATGGACTTGAATGATTTTGCACAAGGAGAGTGAATGTTTTCCGTTATAGCGAATTTTCCGTTTCGTGTGGATCGAAATTAGATACAGTGGATGTTTTCTGTTATTGCGATTTTTCCCTTTATTTTCGATCTAAATTACGTGTAGATTCTGTGTGGAATAAGTTTTAAAAAGTGATTGAGAAATTTTGACATTCTACATTGGGCATTTCTTGAAAAATTAATAATTGGATAACATCAGTATTTATTATGTGTACGTGCTAGCTTTGCTAAATTGAATCAGATTTATTTTTAGACCGTGCTGTATTTTAGATACAGAATAGTTGGCAAATACAATACTGTATACAAAGCTAATACAGAACGGAAAGTAGCTCCGCCCACCACAGTCCCGTTCTGTATTGCTAATACAGAACAGTAAACTTCAAAGAAAAACACCGCTATCGTGTCACAAGAGACAAATACAATTTATTCTTGGGTGCAGAATATCTTTTCAATAAGCCAAGAAGTCTTCAGTATTAAAACATTCGAAACTAAAACCTGTAAATAGTTAACTTGTGTTAAAAGAAATGTTTTTTTTTCCTTTGGATACAAAAAAAAAACAACAAAAAACTGTCGCACTCTTTAAAAAAATTCAGGTACTATAACAATACTTTCTATCTATTCGTATATTGTATAGACTTTAAATGACCGGGGGGGGGGGGGGGGGGGGGGGGAAGTAAGGACTGTCTCCAACTTCTTCTTTTTTAAAGATAAATACTTTGATAGTGTAACAGAGAAAATTACGTGCCTCTGCTTAATTTGGATCAAACCCGAGGCCTCTCTGCTTTACTGAATAAGCTTAAGGGTTATCCCACTAGCCTAAGCTAGTAGGAAGCCGTACAAGTGTCGTTTGTACTACCACAATAGGACTTTTTTTTCCAAAATATTAATGTTGCTAATTTTCTTTTACTATTCAGTGATGTAGATTTCTGCCATTTTACTGCATTAAAAAGCCATAAATTGAAGATCTCCCAGAAGAAGAGCAGATTTTTTGATTTTGTCTTGAGTTTTACGCTTGAGGATCATTTCGGTCGCCCCCCCCCCCCCCCACCCCCGTCATTCGTTTCTCAAAGATATACTTTAGAATGTTTATTTTCTATTATTACGAAGAAAAAATCCTTAATTTTTGATACTTTTAAGGAAATCAAATCAAAAGTTTAATAATGATAAATATCATCAAATTATTATGAAGCTTTACGTCATTTTACGATTTTACGTTAAAAAAATTCATGCAGTTACGCACGCGTACACTGTATGTCAAAGTAAATATTCCGTCTTTGTCATGCGATTTTTTATACATTTATGTACAGAAATATATGTCATGTTATACATCAAACGAAAGAGAAAGAAAAACTCTACAAGAATCAATAAAAAACTGAAAACGTCAAAATTCTTCGTTAAGGGAGGTTTTTGCTTGGCGCGTCACATATAGATAAATAAAAACAGACAGTAGCGGTGCATCGTGTGTCCCACTACACCTAGAAATAAAATATTCTTTTATTTTTCTTAATTTGATTACAGAAAGTTAAGCCTTCCTAATCAATGTATAGGGTTCATGCTTACTCCTACTAGATACCTCATCCCACCTGAATTTCCGAGGGCTCGGGTTTTAAGCCCTGTTCACCTATTGTTTTATTCTTTGTAGAATTCTTGAGATACATCACTGTTTGTTATCTTCAAATTTTTTCATTGAAAACAAATAAAACAAAACAAAGCTGCCCGTAATCACTCCTGTGTGTATCATGAATATTTCAGTGTTTCTTAAAATGTCGAATTTAGCTTAACTTTATAAATTTGTTTAAAGAAATCATTTTTATCAAAAGAATATGATAAAAACAATCTCTCTCTCTCTCTCTCTCTCAGTGCGCAAACGTATATAACCCACCTGCACAGACCGGTCCAGTGTGCAGACCTATCCTAACCATTACTTTCTGTTCCGGAATAGCCTTTAACTTGAATTGCTTGAGTTGTCCCAATATGGCTAAAGACATGTTAGCTATCTCGCCACTATGAGCATTACCATTCCTCTCTGGTAAACCACTGACCACCATATAAGCATCACCAATTGTTTCCACCTGTATATTTGTAAATTCAAATTTTAATGTTTCCTTAAATATAAATACATTTAGCTAGAAGTATCCTTTTCGTCTGAATTTATTTGAAGTTTAAATAAATATGCATAAAAATATTGAATATTAGTTCTTTTAAAAATAATCAAATGTTCTCTCATTTAACTACTATTACATTTTTTAAGAAACGTATATTTTGTATCCCATGTTTCAATCAAATTGGGAACATTTTCATTAATACTCTACCTTATAAACATCATACGTGGAGATTATGTCGTCAAATAACGTATAAATCTCGTTAAGAAAGTCAACGACATCTAGCGGTGTGATTTTTGAAGCAATGGTGGTAAACCCCACGATGTCTGAAAAGAAGACGGTTACAGCCTCAAACTCCTCTGGGACAACAAATTCACCTCTCTTTAGTTTATCAGCAACCAGCCTATATGAAAGGAATAAAAAAAATCCTTACAGAATGTATTTATTATATGATTCATATTTAGTCTTTTCTGATAATTGCTATTCTTTTGGATTTTTCATTTAATATTTCGAGTAATATTGCTCTTTTAAAAAGACAAGGGAACATTGATGAACCAAGACAAAAAACGTGTTAAACCGCCGTATTATTGCTGGAAATGTTAAGTAATATTATTTTGCGTTTGATTAAAATATGCAGAATTATATTATCCAAAACAAGTCGTGAAAGGGATAATGTTACGCTTATATGCATGAAAGGATATGGAGATAACGAATAGTATTCAATCTCAAAGTCCATGAAACTAAAATTAATAAGAAGAGCAGAGCAAACACGGACTTCCGAAACATCAGAGTTGGAATCAAGTGCCTTGGAGGAGTGAGCATCCCCTACTGACCGGTCACACCCGTCGTGTGCTCCTTGTCATGATCAGGAAATAATGGAAAATCCGTAGTTAATTCAGTGTATAAATTATGGACTGACAAGTAGTATGAAAAACGTCAGTCAGCATTTGACTCAATGATAAATTGTATTTGCTGACAAGGTCATTGTATCGACCATAAAACTTACCAAATGATGACCTAAAACAAGACGGCTGATACTCTTGTTTCATCAACATGCTTGTCAAAAAATTACCTCGTTTTAGATCATAAGTAGAGCAAGCAAGCTCTTGCGTATCGAATCAACTGAGATATATACACTCTGTATTCGGGTGATGAAGGTATATTGCTGCATAAGTAAGGGAAGTTGACGATAGAAAAGTTAAAGTTATCACGTTTATCATACACCTTGGTTGTTAGATTATCATTAACGTCTTTTTCAAGTAAAATATCCAAGTATGAAACAGATGTGTCCATGTGTGGTATCTTTAATTTCTAGCTCACCAGGATATAATGTATCGATATAGGAATGGAAATTACCATTGTTAATTGACAATACGTCGTCGATATATCTAAATGTCGAGTTGAAGGCCACAACAAGTGTTTTCTTCTTTTCACGCATAAGATTTTGCACAAATTCTGCTTCATATGAATATAAAAATAGGTCCGCTAATAACGGAGCTCAAATGGTAACCATGGGAATTCCAATGCATTGTTGGAATACCTGCATGTAATGGTATCCTACCCGGGTAACACCCAGACAGCTTTATATTTTTATTTATACTATGAAATATTCTGTATACAGTAGACGACATTATTTCTATCAAACCTGGGTTACATTCTGTACAACAGTCGATCTATCAGTCTGTCTAACAAGAGGCTTGTTCAACACAGAGCGAGAGTTAGCAAACTGTCAAGATCTGTTGAAGGTAAAAGGAATTTTCGTGAGTGCTGCTCGCGAATATTTGCTATCTTGAACAGTCCTCTGGGTAGCATTTTTTTCAATACACAATCTTTATTTGTAACTTACCTGGGTAACATTCTGTAGAGCAGTCTGTCAGTCTTATCCTTCTCTTCATTCAGGGCCACTGACTAACTTACCTGGGTAACATCCTGTAGAGCAGTCTGTCAGTCTTATCCTTCTCTTCATTCAGGGCCACTGTCCTTTCTTCCACCAGGTCTTCTAGGTTATTGGCGTACTTCTCTAACATCGTAATCATGGAGTCTATTATGTTCACACTCCTATAGAACACAAACATGAATCATGAACATATACGTTATCATAGAGTCTATTATGTTCACACTCATATAGGAGACAAACAGAAATCATGAACATATACGTTGTCATAGAGTCTATTATGTTCACACTCATAATGAAGACAAAAGGAAACTAACATAAACGTCATCATGGAGTCTATTATGTTCACACTCATATAGGAGACAAACAGAAATCATGAACGTATACGATATCATAGAGTCTATTATGTTCACACTCATAATGAAGACAAAAGGAAACTAACATAAACGTCATCATGGAGTCTATTATGTTCACACTCATATAGGAGACAAACAGAAATCATGAACGTATACGTTATCATAGAGTCTATTATGTTCACACTCATAATGAAGACAAAAGGAAACTAACATAAACGTCATCATGGAGTCTATTATGTTCACACTCATATAGGAGACAAACAGAAATCATGAACGTATACGTTATCATAGAGTCTATTATGTTCACACTCATAATGAAGACAAAAGGAAACTAACATAAACGTCATCATGGAGTCTATTATGTTCACACTCATATAGGAGACAAACAGAAATCATGAACGTATACGTTATCATAGAGTCTATTATGTTCACACTCACAATGAAGACAAAAGGAAACTAACATAAACGTCATCATGGAGTCTATTATGTTCACACTCATATAGGAGACAAACAGAAATCATGAACGTATACGTTATCATAGAGTCTATTATGTTCACACTCATAATGAAGACAAAAGGAAACTAACATAAACGTCATCATGGAGTCTATTATGTTCACACACCTACATGTAGAGGACACAAACAGAAATTAACATAAACGTCATCATGGAGTCTATAATGTTTACACTTATATAGAAGACAAACATGAATCATGAACATATACGTCATCATAGAGTCTACCGTAAATCTGGAAATTTTTGCTGTAGATAAATTTTTAGCAAATTTGCGAGTTCATTGCATTCGCAAAAATATTTTTCTTAAAAATAAATTACCAATAAGAATATGTAAACAAAACAGTGGTCATTCGCAAAATTTTGAAACGTAAAAGTTAATCAAAAGCATTTTGACCCAGATTCGCAAAATAAAATCGACGTAAAAATTTCCAGATTTACGGTATTATGTTCACACTCATATAGAAGACAAAAGGAAATTAACCACGCATTCTCAAAGTATAGTCTCAATTCGCTTTAAATAATGTACCATGTTTTAAGTAATATAATATTTCTAATAAATTTCATTTTCTGCCAGTCATATGAACCATTGTTGGTTGTAGATTAAAATACAACAATTGTTTGTTGTAAATTGAATGATTGTCTTAAGCGAAATTCGCTTTTTTCATCAGAAATCGATATTTACGTTACTGTCGCCGATCATAGAATAGTTTTTATTTTAAACCAAAAAGAAGTTTTAAATCACTTAAATATCCTTTTCTTAGTAAGAATGTCCTACATTTGAGTTATATTTTCTGAATATCACACCCTTTACACAATTTTTTTAAAAAATTTTTAATATATTTATCAAATTTTGACGTCTCCGCAAAATTATTACTTTTCAATTGGGAAATTTAAAAGGACTTGAGGGATTGCTGAACTGCCTCAATAGGATAAAGTTATAACTTTTTAACATCATGAACACCTCTTCTATTGCATGGAACGGTAAAAAAGACACTGTTTATCTGTATTTATAAAAAAAAAATAGCCCCCCTTTTCTAATGAGTCAAATGGTTAAGAAATTCATCGATATTTACGTGTTAGTATTTATTCACAAATTAAGTAAGAGAACTGCACTGTTTCCTATGGGTCAAATAGCCTAACACTCAAGCACTAGAATATACCTTTAATTAACAGTGGAATAATTAAACAACAGCATTAAAAGTTACGATAAATCTCAGAAAGATATTTACGTTACCAATATTTACGATACCATGTTTTAAAATAAATTAGGGGGGCTTCCACATCGGGTTAAAAAGACGGCTTGGTGTTGGGTGTCAAGAAACTGGTCGAAATTGAATCCATTTCCATTTTTGTTGCTTTGCAAGAAATACATGTATTAAATTGTGCACCTAATTTTTCTCATATAAATTGCTGCTTAGAGATAGAACTTAGAACGTATGCGTCTATGCTTTAATAGTACTGAAAATTCAGTTTAATTATTTTAATGTAGAATGTACGTATATTGCTCTATAGAGCACAGGTAATATGAAACTGTAATAATTAAAAAAAACTTTTTAAAGGGTGGTTGGGGTAACTTTGTTGTTTTTTTTTAGATTTGACGATAAAGTTTTCACAAGCAATTAAGCATTTGAAATAATGGTGGAAGGGGGGGGGTCATTTATTAAATGATTCCTCTATAGATAAGTCATAACTTGAATTTTCAATTCAACCCTTTGTCAAGGACACAGATAAAAAAAATTCATAAAATGCAATAATTTGAAATGATATAATAATTTTTTCCCCGACTTTTATTTTGTATGATATCTATGTGTGATATTTACGTGATATTTAACAAACACTTCGTAATCAGGTAATGGCGAAATATTTTACCTTTTTATATTTTAAATAATGTGCTTTTCTCTGAGCAGATTAATAAAGAATCAAATAATGAAGCATTTTTGGGAATACTGTCATTATTTAGCTTATCATCAGATTTGATAAAAACTTGTTAAAATAAAAAGAAAATAATTTCATTTAAATGAAAATTATGCCTATTTTGTTTTTACTAAGAATTGAATCAAAGATTTCACACTCCTTTTACAAATGTGCTTAAACGGTTTCATAATTGTTTGTAGTTTACAAAATTTTATGTGTATTATCTTCATTTTGTATTTTTTAAAAAAATTCTTTCGTTTCCAAATATGTCTTTTCAACATCACGTAAATATCTTGGAGTAAAATAAGCCCTCCAACCGCATTCATTTCGAAGGAGGTCAACAAAACACAGCATGAAGTATGTAAATCAAATTGTGATTTTTAATAACTATACACTTTCATGTTTTAAATGACATATAAAAGTGTTAGTTTCAGTTCACAAATTTTTTTGACTTTTCCCAAAGTCGATTTGGCACTATAAATTGAGAATGCGTGTAACATAAACGTCATCATGGAGTCTATTATGTTCACACTCATATAGGAGACAAACAGAAATCATGAACGTATACGTTATCATAGAGTCTATTATGTTCACACTCATAATGAAGACAAAAGGAAACTAACATAAACGTCATCATGGAGTCTATTATGTTCACACTCATATAGGAGACAAACAGAAATCATGAACGTATACGTTATCATAGAGTCTATTATGTTCACACTCATAATGAAGACAAAAGGAAACTAACATAAACGTCATCATGGAGTCTATTATGTTCACACTCATATAGGAGACAAACAGAAATCATGAACGTATACGTTATCATAGAGTCTATTATGTTCACACTCATAATGAAGAAAAAGGAAACTAACATAAACGTCATCATGGAGTCTATTATGTTCACACTCATATAGGAGACAAACAGAAATCATGAACGTATACGTTATCATAGAGTCTATTATGTTCACACTCATAATGAAGACAAAAGGAAACTAACATAAACGTCATCATGGAGTCTATTATGTTCACACTCATATAGGAGACAAACAGAAATCATGAACGTATACGTTATCATAGAGTTTATTATGTTCACACTCATAATGAAGACAAAAGGAAACTAACATAAACGTCATCATGGAGTCTATTATGTTCACACTCATATAGGAGACAAACAGAAATCATGAACGTATACGTTATCATAGAGTCTATTATGTTCACACTCATAATGAAGACAAAAGGAAACTAACATAAACGTCATCATGGAGTCTATTATGTTCACACTCATATAGGAGACAAACAGAAATCATGAACGTATACGTTATCATAGAGTTTATTATGTTCACACTCATAATGAAGACAAAAGGAAACTAACATAAACGTCATCATGGAGTCTATAATGTTTACACTTATATAGAAAACAAACATGAATCATGAACATATACGTCATCATAGAGTCTATTATGTTCACACTCATAATGAAGACAAACAGAAATGAACGTATACCTCATCGACATTGATTCTACTATGTTCACGCTCCTTTAGGAGGCATACAGGTAAACGGAAATCATGTACATACATGTATACGTAAATATGGTGTCTATTATATGTTCATGCTGAGTCAGACATATAGAAGATAAACAGAAATCATGTACATATACTTATCTAAGGCTCAAATGTCATCTAGCTGGCGTACGATAGAAATCATTTACGCGACCGAATGTTTCAGTGTATGCATCCGCAAAAGAAAAGAACAATAGCAATACATCAGTGTCTTTGAAAATTTTTACAATGAATGAAATCTTGAAATTAAAAAATTGCGTCAATTATGTTTGCACTCCTAACAGAAATCATGTACGTTACATGTATTGCGTATACTATTTACAGGATAAACTATATTATCCTTCAGAATTAAACAGTCAATCTGATTGCTTTTGAGCATGTCATGTGAAGTGAGACAATTCGTACTGTCTCCCTCACGCGCAGGTTGACAACTACCCTTCAAATGACCATGAAATAGTGCAAGCGATCATGCATAATTACAACTGTGTTGTAGCCCTTTGAATGAAATCCTATAGATTAAGCGAGATAACTTTGATTTGTGATTATTCGCGTACAATTGCTAAAGTAATGTCGGTGTACGTCAAGGCGAAAACTTGTCACCTGTTTTACTCTCAATATTTTTAATGACCTTGTCGATTTTATTGCTAGGGCATATGATGGTTTAACAAATATTACAGAAGCTGTACATTTTTTGCTTAGTACTGAAGAGGTAGACATTTTCCTGAAACGTTACTTATTACTTGATGCTTATGATACTGTAATTTTGGCTGAGTCAGCACCTCAATTACAAGTTGCTTTAAATGTAATGTTTTTGTATTGTAAAACTTGGAAATTGCAAGTTTACGCATCCAAAACAAAGGTTGTTATTTTTAATAAACCTAAAACTGACAATACATCAAAAGTCTTTACATATGACAACCAAAACTTATCAGTTGTTGATGGATATGTTTACTTAGGTGTAACTTTTTCAAGTAATGGATCCTTTGTTAGTAATAAAACTAAGCTACTTGAGCAAGGTAGGAAAGCTATAGTCAGTTTACTCAAAAAAGTAAGATATTTGGATTAGCCTTTAGATATTCAGCTGAAACTTTTTGACAGTATGGTAACACCTGTGAAGTATTGGGATTTTATAATAACAATGTCATAGAAAGTTTATATTTACAATTTTAAAAATAATTCTAAATCTGAAAAAATCTACCCCTAATCAAGTTTTATATGATGAACTAGGCAGATACCCAGTAGAAATATTTATTAAGTCCAGAGTTATTGGATTTTGGCATAGACTTGTTTGTGGCAAACAAGACAAAATATCTTTTGTTTTATATAAATTGCTATTAAAACTCAGAGAACATGACTTAATGCAGTCTAAGTGGATAAATGATGTTAAATAAACACTAAATGATTGTGGAATGTCTGAGTTATGGTTGCAAAAGTTTTCTCCAAAGAAAATATCGGTGTTAAAATTAGTAAAAACTAGATTAATTGATCAATTTATGCAGAATTGGTATGCCTGTATTTTTGAGATGGCAAAAGCCCTTAATTATAGGATATTTAAATTAGAACATTATTTTGAAAATTATTTGATATATCTACTAAAGGATTTAAGAAAAGCTTTATGTAAATTTAGATATATGAATCACAGAATTCTTACTGAAAAAGGTCGATTTTGGGGAGTTGATAGAGATGATCGTATTTGTGATCTTTGTTCCTCTAACAATTTAGGAGATGAATTCCACTACCTATTAGAATGTTCTTTTTTCAAGAGTGAACGAAGAAAAATTGTTCCAAATACTTTTTTATGCTAACCCTAATGTTATCAAATTTCATGACTTCTTAAATTGTAAGGATACTAAAGTTATTTTTGGGCTTGCCAAATTTTGTAAAATTTTATTGTCAGTAATATTAATACCAAAACTACTATGTTACAAATGTTATAAATAAATATAGTTTTTTTTTTTTTTTTTTTTTTTTTTTATAAGCAGAGGCCATCAATATTTTATTAATTGAACTATACATGTGAATTGTACATGTAAATTACATTAGTACCACTCATTCTTTCATGCATTCCTGTTTATATGTAAAAATCTTATATTATTTGTATTCATATACCCCAGTTGGAGTCTCTGTCTGAAATAAAAACTTGAAACTTGAAGCTAAATATGCGGGATCGGTAAGCAATAAATTTTAACAAAGACGTCTGTAGAAATATTTTTAAAGTACGGAATTAAAGCAGAGTAGGAGAACACAAGAGGTTTGATTACTATTTTCTACCTATTTCATTGATAATTTAGATTCGTCAGGATAATAAAACAATTATGGAGTGTTTATATTAGAAGGGAGACATTACAAATTATCTTAGTACGGTTTTCACCCTCGGCGCAAGCGCATTCGGGTTGCAACCTACTGAGACGGGATAATTAATGATTTTTCCCCTCTAAACAGTCCATAATTTTGTCATATCTGACATTTTAAGAAAGGTCACCATAACAGTCATCACTACAAAAATGTATGCTCAAATTGAAGGTTATATGAAATGGAAGGTATATACTTGATAAAGGGTTATTTACTGCACACCCCTACTAATGTGTTCGGAACCTTTTATTTTTCGGTGTTCTGCAAATTATAAAAACCGATGAGTTCCGAGTAGCTCTGGCAGTGGCTCTGGCGAGAGTTAGGGAGACTTCAGAGAGATAGGGTAAATTATTCACGGAAATGTGGCTAGGAAGTGACTTGCACGTGGAGGCATGGTAAACAGAAAAGTTATGTTGCGTTTCAGTTTCACCACCTTAGAATCAGCTGATAATGTCTGTAGAAATGTACTTCAATCAATCGATCTCTCTTACATTCATTCAAACTTAAATAAGAACTCTCTATAATACAATTTTCTGCTGTTATGAATTAAAATTTCTTTTTGGACAAATATTTTTGCATGGGAACCGGGACTATATTTTTTGGCGTCAGATTAGCAAATGAGGCACCAGCGTGATTTTAAGTGACCAATCAGCTGAATGAGTATTGCATTATGGGTTACTACGAATACTACAGGAATTTTACGCTTTAAAAAAAGGAAAATCTTATGGTAAAACTAAATAAAAAGCATTTTTTAAAATATCATTTTCATGCTCATAATGACAAACAATTCATTTGTTAAGAAAACGTAAAATTCTAGGTTTTTCTAAGTCATGCTACAAGGCGATTTGCGTCTGTATTAATTCCTTTGTTGTACTATCGGTGAATACAATTGTCAGGTGGATTCCCTGGCTGAACACGTGATCACGGACGTAAACAGAGTTTTGTCCATTTTAATAGGCCTTTCAACTAATTTTTCAAGTTGCACATATGGTAAAAAACATTGTATAGATAGATTTATAGGTACATGAAATTATCAAAAAAGATAATAATTTATGCATACTTTTAATTACATAATTAAAAAGTTTAATCATTTATAATTGACTTCTCCGATGTTGTGTTTTAAGGACAGGTAACTCAGGTGTGAAAAATAACCAACTTAGTGCCGATTTATGAGTTATCGTTTATAGGAATGACATATAGGCTGCTTCAGCATTGGTATTGTTATGTACACAAAAGGGTTCCAAATATTGTTTTGTACACAAAAGTGTTGACCAAGAGAAAGAGAATGCCTTCACTCTACCGGAAATAACAGGGTCAAATGAATGGGGAACAGACTATATTCAATATTTTTAACTCTCTTTGACGATTGTTATGAAGGAGAAAATTAATGTCATGATTTTTGTGTTCGCGCTTTTTCGCTTCCTATATAAATATATATTTTTTTACAAGTAAATGCAACAATTGACCATCTTATTTGTGTTACTAAGCACGAAGGAGAACGACCGAGTATAAAAAATTAATTAGGTTAGAACTAAGACGGAGGGTGGATTTCACTTTTTATTTTAATGAAAAAATTTAATTATATGTAGTTAAACGGTGTCCGCAACTACACAGTAAGTAAGTTTTACATTTAGTGCTAAATTTTAAAACAACTGAATTCTACTTAGAGCACAGAAACACTTGGGAAATGCTAAATACTGCCTTGCGTGTAAACAGTTAGATACCCCGAGCCTGCTTTAAACAAGTTTCAGCAGTGAGTTATCGTTCATAACACCGACCCCTAGCGGCAGTTGAAAGGCCTACTGATTTAAATGCAGATGCTGCTCATTTTCCTTACCCTTGAAGCGCTGGTGTTCTGAACTAGACACAAGCTACACTTTATTAAACATTTTCTTTTCCATTAAACAACAAATTAAAAACGCCCATAACATCTTTCATAATTTCTTATCTTTGTATTTTGTTCGTAGGAACATTTTTTGTTATTAATTTTTGCAGTCCATTTACTTGATCGTAGATTGACCTGAACTACGTGTTCGAAGTAAAATGTAAACATGTATTTGGCGTAAACGTTGCTATTCATAATCATTCAACGATTGGTCAGTTGCTCGTGGTGAGATCCCCTGTGCGAATTTATATCAATAGCTATATAAGGCAAACAAAGGTTTGTCAGTGTAGATGATAATGCACATTTTTTACCAGCGAATCGGTCACTAGTGAGCTCTAATTTTCGTCGAAAAGTATGATATATTGTTAATTTAACATCCCCTCCTTTAGCCACCCTTTTTCTGTTGAACATCATGAAAGTCTTTCAGAAAAGTCTGGAAACATTAATTACAGGACATATTTTCAAAAGAAACAGGCTATAGCAATGTCATGTTTACTGCCAATTTTATTTTTAAAACCGATTCTGCCTTATAACCTTTGAATAGATCAACCTAAACCACGTGTCTTGAATTTAAATCACAATAACATTAGTAGGGGTGTGCATAACATTACCAACATTACAAGCTCAAGCTCTCTCTTTCTCTTTCTCTCCCATTTTAAGTAGAAGTATTGTTATTAAAGAGAAGGTTAATGCTTCTAGTATATCGGCAGAACGGAAAGCTATTTATTAATTTTTAGGTTCATTCTGGCAAAACAAATGTTCGATTACTGCCTTTGATCTTGCTACAAAAGAACTGTAGTGTTAACAAATGTCATTCAAACACTAGCAAATGAGACAAAAAAAGAAATTGTTGTCGTTTTTAAATTAATAAACGTAAATAAAAACATGACCAGTGCAACGCCAGTGCAATATCCACAAGCTATCACCTTCTATAAGCCATGTACTACAACGATGCCTTCTTGAAATGATGAAAGCCCAGTTTATATTTCCCAGGAATGAATTTTTACCGAAAATGTCCAGCTTAACTCTCCCAGCACTGGCTTTTCGTATCAGTGTTTTTGTTGAATACTTACGCCTGTGTGTTGTTGTTTTTTTATATAGCTCAGTACACTGTTAAAATTTAAGTTGTATCAGTTTTTTTGTTGAATACTTTCTGTGTTGTTTTTTTAAATATAGCTCAGTAGACAGGTAAAATCTAAGTTGTGTCAGTGTTTTTGTTGAAAACTTACGCCTCTGTGTTGTTTTCTTTGATAAAGCTCAGGATACTGGTAAAATCCGGTCTCAGTCTCCAGTCATCGTCCCAACACATCTTCATTAGCTTTATCATCTGAGGTTTGATGGCCTCAGACTTGATCATCTCAGGTTTACACGACTGCCCATTGTGTATGTCCTTAACTACATCTATAATTCAAAAAGCATATCTTTGTTAGAGCTCTTTTAGAAGATAAACATTTAAATTGGATTCATATGCACGGCCATTAAAAAGATGAAAAGGATTGTAAGAATTGCAGTGAAGATACTTTTACGGGTTTATCGTATATAAGATCAACTTATCTGAGAGATCAGAACAAAACAAAGTTTAGGTCAGACAAAAACTAAGTTATATAAACAGAAATTTAAAAGGTAAAGCAGAAGAAGTCTGACCTTTTCATGTCTCCAAAGTTATTCTTTTATCATTTAAATTGTTTTAGCTAATTCTCTCTTGAATATTTTGTTGCATGTTTCTAAAATACCGGTATTTGAAAGCAAAGCGTTAATATGTTGTTCGTATTCACAGTTTATGAAGCGTGTGTTTTTACTGCGAATATACCAAGTAAGTAAAACAATTTTCATGGAAGTAGAAAAAATGATTTAAAAAATCAAGTAAGTTAGATTACGGCTACGTGATCATGAAATGTCATGAACGACGATGGTTGATCGGCTGCATACGTTAATCGTAGTAATAACTATACAAACTGGTTTTTTCTGCGGTTTTTTTTTTTATTTTATTTCTTTTTTATTTATTTTTTTTTTTTTGAAGACCACCGATATCAATAATTTGTCTGCATGATGTTGATTATTTAAACTGTCGGCAGGAAATCCGAAAAATCTGTAAACAGGGTAAATTAACCATTAACCTTTATAAATAGTGTTAGTAGCGTAGAGACATGGCGAAGACGAAGAAACTCACACTCAATATATGTATTTCATTTGTCACCAAGTTACTCATATTAACCTACTGCATTCGCAATTTAAACTTGTAGTACTTTGTTAATGAATAATATTAGGTCAGTGCAGGCTACCTACAGATATATTTATGTAACAGATATTTAAACCTTATATGTAGTTGGTACTTCGTAAATTCTATTTCGTTAAAATGATCTTGATAGCAAATATAATTTACGAGGTCCTTTGAATGAGGCCTTAAAAACAGAAGTCCCATGTCAGGCGGCCGTTAACACGAAAAAGATCCCTCACTGCTCGTGTTGGCTGACTTGTTTCATACATTTTTTTTCTTTTTTAAATACTAAATTTGACTACGGAATATTCCATCTGCCTTATCGTACAAGCCCTCAGGGCGGGTGTGTGCGGTCATGAGGAAAGCTTACTTCTCATATGCACCTAATCCAACGTCTTCAATTTCCAGCGTTTCTTGTTTATGCCCTTTCCTTAGATTTTTAGAGTTCGTTCATTATTTGTTACCTTTACCCTTTTCATGTATAATGTAAAAAGTCAATGAATCATCTTGGAAAAACAGAAGGGAACCGGGGCCAAGGTCAGTATACATGTAACTCATTATTTGAGAAGATTTCAGGATCTTTACTTATTACCTATTCTTCTGTTAACATAAACTCTGATTAAATTGACAAGCTCTGCTATAAAACAGCAAATTTATTCGAGTCGTACAATTTCTATTTTATTTTCTTACGACATTTACAACAGCTATATCCACATCGCAGTCCGTATTAATGTCGTCTTCAAATAAATATTTATCATGATAAAAGAACAACTTCATACTTCAACAGTGAATTAAAAGCATTAAAATTGTTTTCAAGATTTTGCTAATTATACCGCATATGTCGCGGATCAACTCGATAAAACTGTGCTGTTTTACCTCTGTTTATTGCTCAATTGTCAAAAATTACGTCACATGTGACTCATGACGCCGAACTGCAAATTAATATCTGCACATGTCACTTGATATATTTAAAAGTTCTCACAACGACGGTGGACAGGGAATGCTTACTCCTCCTAAGCATCTGATCCCACATCTTAGAATTTCAGCATGTCCGTGTTAATGCTATGATTTTTACAGATTTCTATTATTTAAAGAGATTCTGAGTTTGATCACTGTTCCTTACCTTCGCCTTTTCCTTTATTGTATTCATTGTTACGATTAGGGTTATTTAAATAAACAAGGCTGTAAATAACGTTTTCAATGAAATAAGATTCTTTGAGGAACATTCAACAAGTTCATTAATTCACAAAAATAATACAAATCTTATGGTAACAATGCTCTTTGTACCGTTCTCCGTTAATTTCACTAGGAAACATGAGTATGAGGGAAATGTTTCAAAACTCATATGACATTTTTAACATTAGTATCTGAAAATGTTACTCCATTTTCTATGTGGAAAGCAATCTTTAGCAGGCGGAAACCTTTCATATTCATATAGATGTATATCATTATTTGTATGAAAAGAAAGACATTTATCAAAAATCAAACTATACGCGTTGATAAAAGCTTTGATATTTCATGATTTTAAACACGAACTGTGTTATTATCAGTGTCGTGTCGTTTATAATAACAGACTGAAGAAGATGTACCTTTCGCTGTTTTTCCTTCCACAGGAAAAGGTCCGTTTCGGTAGAACGTTTCGTGCATGATGATACCATAGCTATACACGTCACCCGCCTTTGTGCCATTCCTTGGAGCAATGTCGCCAGACCTTAATATTTCCGGTGCCGTCCATAATAAATCTGTATGCAAACAATTATTTGAAATCAACAGCTAATGGACTCTATGTCGTTTTTCTTATCAATATCGTTTAATAAAATGATGAATCTACCGTAAAATCTTATGATATTAAAATTAGATACATGTACACTATATTCATCCGTGTCCGTAAAAAATGAAAGATATGGAGATGAGTATTCATGCTCAAAAGTCCATTACACAATACAAATAATAATAATAATAATAATAATAATAATAATGCTTTATTTAAAGAATGTAACCCGATTAGTACAAAGTACTGTTCTTCCCCGGGGCCTTAATTCTACAATTAAAACGATATACATAAAATGGTACAATCAAACATATATACACAGTACATGAAAATGATAAGCTCATTTTATAACTTCATAATCAGATGTAATATACAAATTAATGGAAATATAAGACAATAAATAAGTCAATATACAAGGTTTAAAAGATATAGTTAATAACAATAACAAGGACATCTATAATAATGAAAATTACAGACGTTGGCTTATTATAACTTTTTCCAAATTCTTTCTAAAAACAGGCAAAGATGGTGATAATTTAACATGTAATGGTTGATTATTCCATAAATGTACACCTGAATATTGAAAAGAGTTTGTAAATAGGATTGTTCGATGCTTTGGTAATCGAAGATTATAATTCAATTCTGAGTAGGTGAGAAAAATAAAAAGATCCTGGATATATTCTGGGCTCATACCACAAAAAGTTTTATACAATAAAAACATTTACGAAACGTAACTAACTCAAATCATTTAACCATCCTAGTTTTTCAAACAAAGGCTTAGATGGTTGATCAGGTGCAGCATCAAGAATAATTCTAGCATCACGTTTTTGAAGTTTATGAATTCTCTTAATGTTAGATTTGGACGTATTACCCCAGACTGTAAGACGATAGTTTATTGAAGGAAAAATGTATGCATTATAGAAGAGTTTTCTTGTACTTAATGGAAGAAATTTCTTAAGTTTACGAAAATTGGAGCAGAGCGAGCACGGACATTCAGAACATCAGAGGTGGCATTAGGTGCAATTCAGAAGTGAGCATTACCTGCTGACTGGTCATACACGCCATGTGCTTCATGTCATAATCGAGGAAATAAGAAGAAAATCTGTCAACAATTCATTGTAAAAATAATGGACTAACAATTAGTAAACGTCAGTAAGCATTTGGCTTATGATAAATTGTATTTGTAAACTACCATTCCTTGGTCTTTAAAGATGCATGGACACAGATTTGAACTTAATATTTTCTGTATAATATCACGACTTATATATTTGAATAGAATTTCACACAAAAATTGATTTAAATTCTCATTTCATCTAGAAGTTATTGAAACTTCAAATTTTTGGATGGATTTTATTGACACATCCTAGCACTTTATATTAATACAAATATTAATTTTTTTTCTTAAAACTTAAGAAAAGTTACAATCTTGATGTCTATTAATGAAATATAATAAAACTTTAACCCAGAAAAATAATTATATTCAGAGTAGAAATGTTCGAAAGCAAAAGCTCTTCACAAGTTTAGCAAATTGATCACACCAGTGAAACGTACACAGTTTTTGTTAACAGAGCACAACCTCTGTTATTGTTGATGTTTAAGATTCACAGGGAGCGTTGTGGCAAGGCACTTTGAAAAAATTACGCACTTTGAAAAATTTTTCAAAGTGCGTTAAAATTGGGACAAAATCAACGCACTTTGAAAATTTTTTTCAAAGTGCGTTAAATTTGGGACCACCTCAACGCACTTTGAAAAAATTTTTCAAAGTGCGTTAAGAGTCTGCATCAATATATTTTACCATGGAGATACTTAACGCACTTTGAAAAAAAAATCATATTTTAGTCATGGAAAGATTTTTTTTGTTATTTATCTTTCAAAAAACTAAGTCTAACTCTAACCTCAAAAATGAATTGATTTTACTCCCGTCGAAAAGAGGAGAAGACGGGTATAAGATCCCTAAGTCCAAATCTTTATCTTTCCAATACATAGGTGTCGGTAACAAACGGGGGAGGGGAGCAATAAACCTAAAAAAGGGTACGCTGCATTTTCAATGCTTATACGATGTATATATCTTTCCAAAATAAGTTGGGGGGGGGGGCTTAGCCCCCATCCCCTCCCCTGGCCCTTCGCCCAGTCTCGATGTCTATGCTATACTCAAAGCATTCATATAATTATATATTTACCTAACTGGTATGACGTTGAAAACTTTCAATAATAAATGAGTTAATTGAAACAGATGAAAACTAGAAATTTTTAAGTACAGTAAAACGTATGAGAGAGAAAGAATTTTCATAGTTTTGAACAATCAAATTGGCCCCTTTTTATTATGATAAATGCTAAGTTGCTTGAAGATGTCCTCTGTTAGTGCCCCCTATACACCTTTACATCTACTTATCAAAGACTAGAATTAAAAAAAAGAAGAAACGAATTAATGAACTTAAACAATCGTCACTCTTTTTTTCAAGACCCTTTAATTTTCCCTTAATTTATTTTATCAAAACCTTCAATATTTAAAACGTCAATATCTCAGGTCCTACAGTGACTTTATCATTAAAAAGTTATCAAACCAGGATCTGTTATTTATCATACCGATCATTTGAAGGAATATTGATCAATCTTTACATTTTTTTCAAAGTGCGTTAATATGGTCGATATTAACGCACTTTGAAAAAAAATTATTTTTTTCAAAATGCGTTAGCTTGGTCCCAAATTTTAACGCACTTTGAAAATTTTTTTCAAAGTGCGTAATTTTTCAAAGTGCGTTGTAACAGAGCGTTCAATTGTTAAAGTCTACTGACAACAACTGCACGGACTGACAATATACTGTGTGTATGTTTTGCTTTCGAACATTTCTACTCTGAATTTTCTGGATTATAATTTTATTTTTTTTTAAAGTTGCAAATATTAAAATAGGTTTTAAGAAATCATTTAAAAATGTGTCCATTTTCCTTTAAAGAATGAATCTACTATATAATCTTACAATATTAAAATTGGATACACATTCATATGTTTCTTTCTTAAATCAAAAATATGGAGATAAAGAACAGAATTCAAGCTCAAATGGCTATCAAGCAATTAATACAAATATGAAGCAGAGCTATATAATTGTTATATAACTGATCATTTCAATTCTTTATTTCCTTATGCCAAACGGCATATCAGACAGATACATGTACATAATGGTTGTATTACAAACAAGGTATACATATATTCAGATCTTACAATTGTATAATAAATGTTTACAAACATTCATGAGCTATGAACAGTTTAATAAATCTTTTCTTCGTTGTAAAGCAATGAACAAAAATTTTCCCAATTTAGACATTTCTTTAACATTTTGTACACTTAACAGTTGAATTAATTTAAAGACACTAGGTTTCTTAATATAATACTGTTTTATATATTGGATTCCAAATATAAAATCAGTCAGCATTTTCTGTTAATTCTGTTTTCATTAACATATCTACCTTCTTCTACCCGTAATTTATGATCAGTTGCCATTTTTTTGTATGCATGTTTAATAGGTTTTGATAAATAATTCTGTAAACAAAAATGGTCTATAAAATGTTGATACAATGTTGATCCCCTGCCGACCGGTCACACCTGCCGTTCTCTCCGTGTCATGGTGTTTGGTGTGTATATTATATAAATAAAGCTCTTTGACGAGATGGATCTGTAATTATATCGACTTCACAGAAATGCATTTCTGTGAAGTCGATGTACTGACGACGGAAATAAAGGACTTCATTTGTTATATTATTTTGTACAGAGATTGACAAAACATTTTTGTACAGAGATTGACATAACAAAATTTATAATTATACGGAACTTGCAATAAGTTTTCTATCTGGTCGTTTTGGAACACTTGGGGATTAGATGTCAAAGTTAATTAATCTGTTTACTGTAACTGTATTTCCTTTGTATCACTGGAGTAATTTAGAGAATTTCCATTTTAAAAAGACTACATTTGTTTTCTTTTTTAAATTAAGTTTTGTATTAACTTTAGAAAAATGTATCACCTGGATTGGTATATTTTTTTTAAAGTTTATATTACACTTGTACTAAAAAGGGTACATATTCTGACAATAAACCTTTACTTGGTATGATTTGTCCATTTTTATATTTTGTTTTGAAGTATTAAATAAAATTTTCAGTGACATTTCTAATATACAAGCAAATAGTACATTTTATAGAGTAAATGTTACATCAGTTCATTTTGTGTTCCTTTATAAAAAAAAATTTGAAGAAAAAAAGGGTAAATGAATGGAAATTAAACAATTTTGCCATTATTACTCTAGTTGTGTCCTTTTTCAAGGAAATATATAACTTGATATGATAAACATTCGTCAGTGTTCAAGCACCATGAGGTCCGCGTAAATGACTAATGCCCTGTTCACACGGAGAGTTTAATTCGAATTAAACGTAAGTTTACTGCGAATTAGCTTCGCTTAGCGTTCACACGGAGAATTTAATGCGAATTAGTTTAATTCGAATTAGTTTACTGCGCATTAAATTACTTCGCATTAGCTCCGTGTGAACGCTAAGCGAAGCTAATTCGAATTAAATTCTGACGCATGCGTAATGGCAATATTTAGTCAAATGCCACTTGTCGGTGGTCAGTCATAGGTACTTTTGCTATTTTTGAGTGAAAAACTAAGGAAAAGTTTGTAAATCATTAAAATGTGTATACAGACACTTTGTCATTATGCCAAATGGATCTGCTTCAGTATAAGGTGACGTGATTTGCAAATGACGTCATAATAGCCGTGCTGACGCCAGGCTGCAGAAGTAAACTTTTAATTCGCATTAGTTTACCTCGCATTAGCTGTCGTGTGAACGCAATTTAATTCGCATTAGTTTGATTCGCATTAGTTTACTTCGCATTAATTTACTGCGAATTAGATTCTCCGTGTGAACAGGGCATAAGTCTAAGGCTAAAAAACTTGAAAAAGATGTTAAGCAAACTCTCATTGAGATTAAAACTATACCAAGGGCTAAAAAAAGAAAAAAAATCTCTCAACAAAATCTATTAGAATTTTTTTTTCACATGTTTTACACAAAGCTATCACTCTATTTTTTTTAAATTAAGATATTTAATTTGATCATAATCACCTTTAAATTTTTCCATTCTCTTAATATTAGCCAGTTGTTCATGTTCGTAGAAAGCAGACACCCCGTAGTCCGTGACCTTCACGGTCCATCTGTTGTCGATGATACAGTTAGAACTTTTAAGTCGACCGTGCGATTTCAGGACAGAGGAGTGGAGGTACTTCATTCCCTGAAATCAAATTTAGACAAACCGTTACTTTATTTGTTTGTGTGTATGTTGTGTAACGTCCCTCTCGAGATTTTTTCATTCATATGGGGAGGCTACCAATTGGCGATGTAGAGCTGCTAGATGTTGTATACTCGGCACTCAGGGCCATTGAGCATTACGTCCTTGATCTCAAAGACTGAAGATGTTAAACAATTATATTCATATTTAGGAAATGATCGTATGTTTGAAATTTCAGAAGTGCATGTTTATCAATTAAGTATTAAAGAAATATTTAAAAATTTAACCCACTGTGAGGCTAAATGAACGTTATGAAAGAAATAACTCACTTAAATGGAATGATAACTATCAAACTAATATTAGTATTAATGATTTAGTTTTTCCATTGGAATTAAGGGAAACATTTCATGATTGATAAAGAAAAGCCTATACAGGAAGCCAGAAAAACGCAAAAACATATCTATAAAATCAACTTCTTAAAAAGGAGAAGGCATTAATCGAAGAAATGGTGTTTATGTCATATTTATTCCTTTATCTCACCATAGCGATGTCTTTCAGTATTCCAACTTTAAAAGCCCACTCGAGTCGTATATCATCATTTTCCAAGACATCCTGGAAGAAATAATAATAAAATCAAATTACATCATTGTTATCTAGACCATAGGTGTTAATAGTGTTATATGTTCTGTTCACTGTTATCAAGTATTTAAAAGTAACAATGACTTTAAATCTAATTCTTGTGATGAACTGATTTGGATTTATTCTCTTTTATTGAAAAAATTGAAGTCATTGAAAAAAGGTTAAAGTTTTACTAATCTCCTAAGAAGGTGGATTCAATATCCATTAACATGTTACAAACGTAGGATACTGTTGTTTTCGGATTTTCCTAATTAATTAGAATGCTGAATTCAATGACTTTTGCATCAGCAGTTTTATGATTTGATTTCCGATTACATTCAATGTCTTATTAAAATAACAATGGAACCGGAATTGCAGAGAATTAATCTAAGAACCTAGGTACCTGAAGGCTTCCCTTGGTGCCATACAGAAACAGGCAGCAAATGTCGGGAGGATCGATACAGGCGCCGATAAAGGGATTCACGTTAGCATGTAAAAAGTCCCGCATCTAAAAAGAACATGTTTTGCATCCTGAACATTTTCTGATTTCGCCTTATACCTTTATGACTCATGAAAAAAAAGAAACCATGAACATTTATTTCTGTCTGCTAAGATAGCCAGATATTTAAAAGCACTTTTCTCTTAAATTACTTTCAGATAACATATATCTTCATAGTAGTATATTTGTATAAAACTTTATCATAGTATTAATGACCTACTTCCATTTAAGGAATAGTTACTGAATGTCTAGAGACTGATCATGGAAGAGTGAGTGAAAGGTCTCTAAGTGACCAGTAAGAGGCCAACCCGTTCACTGAAAGATCGCTGAAAGTTACGCACAATTCAGTGACCTTTCGGTTATCTTTTTCTTTCATATGAAAAAATCCGTTGGGTGATACCAAAAATAGGTTTTGCTTTATACTAAATTTGACCTTGAATGATTCCGTTGGATGATAACAATGATAGGTTTTGTTTTATACTAAATTTGACCTTGAATGATTCCGTAGGGTGATAACAATGATAGGTTTTGTTTTATACTAAATTTGACCTTGAATGATTCCGTAGGGTGATACCCATGATAGGTTTTGCTTTATACTAAATTTGACCTTGAATGATTCCGTTGGGTGATAACAATGATAGGTTTTGCTTTATACTAAATTTGACCTTGAATGATTCCGTAGGGTGATACCCATGATAGGTTTTGTTTTATACTAAATTTGACCATGGATTGATCCCCCTACCTAGTCGATACACCTAGGAGCGGGCTTGACCGATCAACATGGGATGCTTACTATTTCTTAGCAACTGATCAGAACTATGGAATTCCAATGGGTACTTGTTTAGTTCTCTGTTCAGATAGGTAATGTTGGTAAATTTTTGAGATATTGGTCACTTTTCGGTATTTTCACATTTTTCACTAAGCGGTCATGATCTCATATAAGTTTACAGCAAACGGTTTTAAGATGAGTGTTATATCGCATATATATGATTTATAAGCTGGTATTCTATCTTTATTGCACAGGTTGTTTTTAATTCAGGTCTTTATTCAGAAAGGGACAATTATCGGTAAAGAAAAATCCTGTATGTATTTACAAGTAGCTTGAACTCAGTTCATCAGTGTACCTAACTGCAGAATTGTAGCTCTCTGAAAAAAATAACTTGATTGACCGGAGAGCTACAGTGCCACCCTTTGGAAAAACTATATTTATTGCGCACAAAAAGTGCGCTGTTTCTCGGTTTATTTCTCAATGTTTTTCAAACTGTCACATCAAAATACAAGAGTTGATCCAAACATTCGTTAAATTTTTTCATATTTTATTTATTTTTAAGTGATATTGGTTAAAATTACACATGAGAATATAGAAACTTTTTGAATATTATAAATCAAAAATATTTTAAATATATATGATAGTAACGAAAATTATGTCATTGTTACAATAGCTTGATCTTTTATAAACCTTTGTGTGGGAATTTTGCTGATTTTACTGGATATTTAGTTTATTAGTTGGTGATTTATTGTTCATCTTTAAGTTGTTAGACAATGTCAATTTTCGGTCAAGTCATATGTTTTGTGAAAATCCTGGGATCACTTTATATTAAACACGTATATTATTGACATAGGCTGGGAAAATGCATTTTGTTTCTTGTTTTCCAGTTGCATATTAAGAAATTTAAGAAAAAAAAGAACTTCCATGGACGTTGATTAAAGGTGTGGCCGCCTTTTGAAGGCTGTGTTTTAAGTATTAATCCCCCTAGACAAATTAAAAGCGTTAATTGAAGTTGTCGGTTGACGTACTGTTCTTGACATTGCTACTGAAATTGGAACATCATATGGGAAGATGTGGAGTGTTTTGAAATATGAGTGAAAATTGAAGATAAGTTGGTGCGAGGAGATATCCAGGCTTTTGTTAAGAAAAAATGGAGAAAAGGGCAGCATTTTGTAGAATTACATATTCAAATTGAACATAAGGGTGTGATGCTTCTATAACGTGACGTGACATATCAAACTTGACATAACGTCGAAGTCTCCTCCAGGTTTCACAACAGTCCATTTTCAGAAATCTCTTGTGGCCTTATTGGTAATTGGAAAGTTTTGAAATTTTCCAATATTGTTGCCTTATGACTCTATATTATGAATATGTCTGTTATTTGCTTTCATCAAACAACAATACAATTTTAGAAAGAAATTCCGCGAACTTTTGGACCAACCCTCGTATTACTAACCGTGTGATCCTAACATATTCTGTCACTAATTCAACAACAAAACATTCATTTTGATTGTTTTTAATAGCCCTCCTGGCCTTAAAATTGAGATGATAGAAAATTTCGTCCATTTACACTGCCACTTTATGTTTGCAAGATAATTCGGTCTAACGCGCTTCGTTCAGAGATGTCAACTACGAGAGTACTTGATAGAAAAGTAAGAATTTTTTTTTAATTTAGCTTTTTTTGCAATTGAGGTAAGAATTTGGAAGAATTAACCCAGAACCAAGCGTAAATTTTTGTGCGCAAAAAATGTAAAGTTTTTTTTTTTCAATGGGTGGCACCGTAACTCTCCGGTCTGTCAATATATTTTTTCGGAGAGCTACAGTTCTGCAGCTACAGTGTACCTTCCTATTAATGGTTTTTCTAAAGTAAAAAAATTGATACCATAATTAACTAAAAATTTTTTTTTCAACTGTAGTATTTTTGTTAGGGTAACGTCGGCCAATAATTTCTGCAGTGAGCTCTTTGTTTTAATCAGGTTAAGGAAGTAATCCGTAGCCAACATTAGCCGAATAATTGATTAGAAAACATTCACTGAAAACTATAGCCTAATAACAATATTGTTCGGTTAAATTTTACTTTAAAACAATAGCCTAACAATTGTTGAGTTAAAGTCGACATAACGATAGCAAGATTGATTTTGAAACAAGGTCAGTTAGCCTTCATAGAATTTTAAAAATGCTATTTGAAAACCTTTGATTTACATACAGTTTTTTAGTCAGAAGCCTACCTCTGATTAAAGATTAACCATTATACATAACAGTCCTTTGTTATAAAAAAAAAAAAAAAAAAGAAAACAGTTAGAGACATAAAGATCATACTGGTCATTGTGGGATGCTAATATGAACTTGGAAAGGATTTGATAATAAAAAGACTTTCGAAGCTATTCCAATTGTTACAGCTGTATCTTGTTTAGTTTTAATGTAATTATGGTTGTTTTACGCCTCGTAATACAGATTTTTGTTTAAATAGATTTTTTTTTCAGATCAATTATTTTTCGTTATACATACTTTTTACACTTATCAAAACGATGTGATATAGAATAGGTTATTATTTTTATTTTATTTTTTTTTCTGTTATATGAGTTGACTTTGGAAAGAAAGCAACATTTCTCAAGAAAAGAGTTGTAAATTTATCTAAACGTTGAATTGAAATCCACAACAACAGTTTGTCTTCTTTTGCGTTTTAATTTTTCTGCGTTTTTAATGAGTTCTGATTCATTGTAATATGTGACACATGAATTTTGTTAAACATATTAATCAAATGATTGATTAACAAATAAAAGTTTCACCCTCGAGGAAGGCAACTGTAGGTAACGCCGATGTTTCATACAATTAAATTTTATGAATCGGAACTGCTTTCAATCTATTTTCCACGTCGATTTATTTTTTGAAGTTAAAATCCTACTTTAAAGCAGATGTAATTAATAAACTGAGTGTATTAAAATTAAATGTCTACCAAAATAGTTCTTGAACAAAGAGAAGTTGTAAAAATAGCATTAAAGTGAAAGGAGAGGTTAATTAAATTTAATTTAAAGGATACTAAAATTTTCATTGAAAGGTCTTCACATGGAATAAGTGCATGTGATATTTGAAAAGTGTTTAATTATACCGTATATCTGACGTTTCTTCCGAATTGATCTATTTTTCGCTTTTTTTTTTTTTGCAATCATTTTTTTATTCGCAAAATATAAAACAAGCAAAAATTATGTTGGCTATCATTTGACATAAAAACATTACCATTTTAATTTTTTCCTTCAATCGTAAAAAACAACTTACGCAAATGACAAATTTACAAATCTACCCCTTTTCGCAAAATTTCCTATAAACAAAACAAAAAAGTAATAGAAACCCCTGTTATGTGGTAATTGTTAGACCAAACAAATATATCTGAGACGTCTTATTGCAGGTACTTGTTGACTGAATACCACAACTTAAAAGATTCAAATTGGATACTATATTATCACTCACGGCTCGCAGTTCCACCAAGTCCGTCATAGTTAGGTGAACTGTAGACAGAGGGCTTGTTTTGATGGCTACTGTCTGACCTTTATACTCAGCTGTCTTGGTAAAGTTGAGGTGACTAGTGCCATCACTATTACCTTCACAATCAATCATTGAAAAGGTACTCTTACTGAGCTAAAAAAAAGAATAGTAAAGGACACTAATTTAACAAGGTATATCATCAGAAACTTTGTGAGCTAAAATTAATATATTATATATATTTTATATTTATCTCAATGTTTTAATAATATTCAAAAATATCTTTATACAATATGTATCAAATCACTTGTAAATCAGGCTGACCGTAAGATCTTTTGATAATTGAACACCATATACTTCTGAGAACTTAGGTGATCTAGCGTACATTTGTCCTCCATTTCTGTTCACTATCTTTTTTTTTATATTTTAAATCTCTACCCTTTACCTGACTTCCAATTCCACGTTTGTTTCCCTTTATGCTAACATCAGTAATTTCTATTTTCCAAGTCATCCTCAAGATTTGAAGGTCATATTTTCTCTTCCTAAAAAGCGGAAACCAAATTTAAAACATTTAATAAAAACAATAAGTGAAATAAGGAGAGCAAATGAGGACCTTTGTACACTTAACAACATATGGGACCAATGCCTTGTAGAACAGTTCTTACCGCCATGGGCCATTTATCTAAATTGAATATATACGGTGAAATATATAGACAAATCATAATCGTTTAACAAGGTACGAAACAAACAATTTCTGAAACGAAACAAAATACAGACGAAAGAATCTTGAAATGAGATCTATTGCCAAACAAGGTAATGAAATGGGGATATCATTAGACATGTTTAAGATCATCATTTACCAGGTCTTCCAACAATGTATTGGAATTCCCATGGGTACCAATTGCGCCCCGTTATTATTAAACCTTTTTTGTATTCATATGAAGCAGAATATGTCCAAAATCCTGTGGGTAAAAAGAAGAAAACATTTGCTGTGGCCTTCAACTCGACATTTAGATATATCGACAATAATAATCACCTGCATACAGAGTTTATAAAACGCAGTTGATTCGATACTCAAGAACAAGCTCTACGTATGAACAATTTCTAAAACGATGTAAATTATTGACAAAAAAGCTGATGAAACAAGAATATCAGCAGTCTGGTTTAAAGTAATCTTTTGTAAGTTCTGTGGTCAATACAATGACCTTGTCAGCAAAAACAATTAATCATTGAGTCAAATGCGGACTGACGTTTTTCATTCTAATTGTTAGTCCATTATTTATACACATGACAAGGAACACACGGCGGGGATGACCGGTCGGCAGTGGATGCTCACTCCTCCATGGCACCTGATTCCAGCTCTGATGTTTTGGAGGCCCGTGTTTGCTCGATAGCTATTTTGTATTATTATACTTTCATGTTAAATACTAAAATCTGATTGGTTTAGACGCAGTTAACAATCTGTTCTATTACCCTCAGCCTTAGCAACGCATGTGACAACGGTAATGCCACATGCGTGGATATTATGCGCGTACGGTTCACCGTAGAATTCTCAAAACATCAGTTGCACGTTTGAAAGAACTGGAATAAACTTGACGTCAATAAAAGCTTGCGTCCGATGTAGACGAAACATGCTTGCGAGTGCAGAAATAACGAAACTTTATATGATAAAAGACTCTTAGAGTATCAAACAAACAATAAAAAGGTCAGTAAATCTTTTTCGGAGTAGCGAGGAGTTTGAAAGCTTTGTAAACGTGAACGTAAAGATGATCGACAATTTTTTTTTTTTTTTTTTTTTTTTTTTTTGCTGACTTAATTTAAGAAGACATTCAGTATAATAAAATAAATGGTGCCTGTTTTGGAGGGTAACAGTTGAAATTGACACCCCAAGGAAAACCATTGTCAACCGACGCGTCAGCGGAGGTTGACAATGGTTTTCCGAGGGGTGTCAATTTCAACTGTTACCCTCCAAAACAGGCACCATTTATATATTGTTTTATGGACTTTTGATCTTGAATACCTTTCGTTATCTCCATATATTTCATTTCAAAGTTTCCTGATCTATACCTTGGCCTGGTCAACAAGCATAATACAAATGCTAATTCATTTTTTAAACATTGTTAGTTAAATTTTTATACGCTAAATTATCTACGAACGTTTTTCCGATCCTGACAAGAAACACACAGGTACATGTAAGCAATATGCTTCCATGACACCTGATCCCACCTCTGATGTTTTAAGGGTTCGTATTTACACTGCCTCGTTTTGAATTCGTTTGATGACCTTTTTAACCTCGTGTATATTCGTTATCTTCATATTACATTTGAGGCTGGAAACACAAGCTGAGAAAAATAAGAGATGTCCATGCCTATAAATGTCCGTAAGGTTTAAGTGATATTTTGATACCCCTCGGTGAATCGTGATGTTAGAGGAAAAAGGTGTCTTGCCAAAAGTTTTTCTGATTTTACAACAGCAGGATATAATAAAGAAAACATGTATTACATCGTTCACACTGACGTTAAATAACAAACCTGATATAAAATCCTGCTATAATGACCGCAATGAGAAATACGACGACAATAGAGAGAGAGATGATAATTTCAGTGGTGTAATCTGAAAGAGAAATTTAAAAAATAGTTTACAAACATGTCAAACGAGATAAAACAATAATAATTTAACAATTTCGAGGTTTCAAGTTCTGGATAGTTTCTTATTGGATATTTTACGTATTTTACACTTTATATTTTAAAAGACCAGGGAAGAATTCCGAATAATTTACAAAGTTGTCAATGCATACTCCTCGAATAGAAAACACTAGCTTATGTCGTTATAAAACTTAATTTCATAGAGAAGATTTGAATGACGAGGAATGTAAAAACAAAGAAACTGAAAACTGTATGTTAGGTAGAAAACAATGCCTTTGATCACAGGTGGACAGAACTCATTGGAGAAACCACAGGGTGGCGTACTTGGTGGTGCCTCGCCATCATCGGTCAACCACAGAGTAGACTTATCTTGCCAGATAGTTACAATCTGTTGAAATGCAAATCAACTACATGTACATATAATATATTTTATAATTTGTTAATTTTTTAATACACACGCAAAAACCTTATATATTTTGATTTATTAGTTTTGATTTTATTTCCATTTTTTCAATATAAGTAGATAAGTAAAGAGAATTTAACCAACACAATGTTGATGCTTTCTCACCTCCGATCCTGTTTCTACAATGGCAAAAATCCTCGTTTCATCGCTTTTATTTTTCAGATCCTCTACCCAAAACACAGGCTGTTTATCTCCATTACCGTCAAAGTGAATTTTACCACTAGTACCTAGGATATGTTTGATTTCTTTCAAGGATACATTAAATACAAACAATTAAATTATACATGGATTGATACATATTTTTTGACAAATTTTGAAAGGAAATTTAAATACATTATCAATCCTAAAAATTAATCATATGGAGATAACGAATGGTATTCAAAATTAAAAGTCCATTTAATTAACTATATGAATACGGAGCAATGCAACCACGGACTTTCAAAACATCAGCGGTGGGATTAGATGCCATGGAGAAGTGAGTATTCCCTGTCGATCGGTCATTCATCTCTTTTGTCATGATCAGAAATAACGGGAAAAATCACAGACAATTCAGATTGTAGTTAATGGCCTAACATTTACATGAAGTATAAACAACATATCAGTTAGCATTTGATGATAGCTTGTATTTGCTGACAATATCATTGTATCGACATTATAACGTACGGGATGCCTTAAAACGAGACTGCTGAATTTCTTTTTTTATCAGTTTGATCTTCAAAATGTTTTTAGTAATAGTTAATAAAGCATGTAGAACATGCTCTTAATTATCGAATCATCTGAGAGATAATAACCCCGTATGAACGTAAGAAGAGTATATATGGGAGTACATATAGCATTTGTAATAAAATAGTGAGGCTCGACAAGAACCACACGGCAGGTTTGACCGGTCGGCTGGGGATCTCAAATCTCAACGGCACCTGATCCTACTTCTGAAGTTTTGGAGGTCTTTATTTACTTCGCTTCTATTTTATGATGTTTAATGGACTTTTGAGCTCGAATACTGTTCGTAATTTCCACATATTTCTTGAAATTTCAAGAAAAAGAAATTGTTTTAAGACAGTTCTTTGCTAACCATTATAAGTTAAGTTGTGAGTAAACTCGAATAGTCCAGCCCCGTTTCTGTGATTCAGTCCTCTTTTATAACAATGGTCCCACCACAAAACAGCCAGGTACATAGAATCATGTAACGTAGGAGCTGATGTGGAGGGCTACAAACAGATAAACAGCAATATAAAATCATGTAACGTAGGAGCTGACGTAGAGGGCTATAAACAGATAAACAGTAATAATTACATAGAATCGTGTAACGTAGGAGCTGACGTGGAGGGCAACAAACAGATAAACAGCAATAATTACATAGAATCGTGTAACGTAGGGGCTGATGTTGAGGGCTACAAACAGATAAACAACAATAATTACATAGAATCGTGTAACGTAGGAGCTGACGTGGAGGGCAACAAACAGATAAACAGCAATAATTACATAGAATCGTGTAACGTAGGAGCTGACGTGGAGGACTACAAACAGAAAAACAGCAACATGGAATCATGTAACGTAGGAGCTGACGTAGAGGGCTATAAACAGCAATAATTACATAGAATCGTGTAACGTAGGAGCTGACGTAGAGGGCTACAAACAGATAAACAGTAATAATTACATTGAATCGTGTAACGTAGGAGCTGACGTGGAGGGCAACAAACAGATAAACAGCAATGACTACATAGAATCATGTAACGTAGGGGCTGACGTGGAGGGCTACAAACAGATAAACTGCAATAATTACGTAGAATCATGTAACACAGGGGCTAATGTTGGGGGTACAAACAGAATAACAGCAATAATTAATTAGAATCATGTAACGTAGGAGCTGACGTAGAGGGCTATAAACAGCAATAATTACATAGAATCGTGTAACGTAGGAGCTGACGTAGAGGGCTACAAACAGATAAACAGCAACATAAAATCATGCTACAAGAGGGCAGAAAACAGCAATGCAACATGTAACGTAATCATGATAACAGAAATAGAATCATGTAGAGGCTGACGTAGAGGGCTACAAACAGATAAACAGCAATAAATTACATAAACAGCAATAATTAATTAGAATCATGTAACGTAGGAGCTGATGTTGAGGGCTACAAACAGATAAACAGCAACATAGAATCATGTAACGTAGGAGCTGACGAGGAATCGTGTAACGTAGGAGCTAAACAGCAACATAAAATCATGTAACGTAGAGGCTGACGTGGAGGGCTACACGCAGAAAATCTGAAATATTTATATACCGATAACAGACAAAAAGCCGTATAGAGGAAGCAAATTAACTTACAAATTGGAGAAAGCAAACAAAAACAATTGTATTCTTTCAAACAGAGAGAAAGTAGTCAATTGCTGTTAATTTTCCGACCCTCCTTTTTTCCTTCTAAGTAGACTAGTAAGCATCATTTCTAGAAACCTTTACCCATTATACAGGAAGTGTATTGTTGTTTGTTAAACAGAAATTTCTTTGATTTATATTGTACATTACAAGACAGGTTAACAATAATTACGGAGAGGCCTTCATCAAGTGCAGTAGAATCATTCCATGGAGGCTCTGCCATTCTCTGTGGAATCGTTCTCATTAGTTCTAAGTGACGCTCCTTGCTGGCATCATCAAACCATCTAGCTGCTGTTAACTAAATCCAGGTCAATAATAAAAATCCATGATTTGTGATATTCACATACAGTAATAAGGACATGCACTGAAGTATCTTTGATTGATATTGAGAAAATAAAAATGTTTTTTTTCATCGGTTATTTTTAAAAAATATTGCTTAATAAAAGATTTTAAAAACTGTGCAAATCTTTTTTTAATAAGCTTTGGCTCTATATAATGAGGATTCAAATTTGAATTTTACATGAATGACATGACGAAATGCTTCACGTGATATGACGTCGTCAGAGTCATTCTTATACCACGCGGTGTATCGATACTTGTCGGCGTTTGATAAGAAGTTTGGATCGATGAAGACGTAATCTCCAGTTGTCATCCCGTTGTAGTGAGCTCGTATCATTATTTCTCGGAAATTGTTATTTTCTGCGCACATAAACACAACTACAATAGAAAATTAGACACAATGTGTAAGAACTTCGTGAAGAATACCCTATTGCTTCAGTAATAATTTTTTTTCTTTTGCTTAAAAAAACTCTTACAATTTATAAAAGGGTGAATAGATCTGAATATTATAAAAAAATACGTATATCAATTAAAGAGGAAGGTGTATGAGAGAAAAATATTTTGTGAAAGTAAGCTTTATTGTTGTTCTGAAAAGCTGTAATACTTCTTGCTGTTTTCTTGATAGTGTTCAAATATTGATCTATCTGACTTTTGGAAGGATTTTCTGTAAAACGTAGGTAAGAAGACACGGTAATTTTATGGTGCGCCACTCTGGTTAAAAAACCATTCATTGCATGCAAGCATAGGTCTGTAAGAGAAAAACATAAAAACCTATTTGAAAGCCAAAAAATTACGTAATAGAAAATAAACTTGGAAATGCAAATTACATTTAATTATGATATATTACAATATGAATTGGTTACTAAAGTTCTACAAATGACAAAGCGAAGTGTTTCCTAGTTACCATAAGACGTCTGTATGAGAAGTGCAGTGACATTCCAGTTGAACTTGGTAAACAGTGAAGCTGTAGCCAGACCAACTTTGTTAAAGGTTGAAGACAGCCGTATAAACGTTTTAAATATGTCTTTCTTCTCGAATGTTGGGTCGTTGGCTTCCCAGCTGATATGGGGAATGTTATAATATGGGGTCACGTAAGCGGGTCCTAGATTTCCTGTGTTGTTTTACAATATAGAAAAGGTTGCCAGGTTTTATTTTTATGAATAATTTAATGTAATCGCAACACAGAAATGTTTTTAAAAGTTTCAATATATTATGCATTTTAATAATTCAAGAATATTTTTCCGTTTTTTTTTTCATATTCTACAACAAGATGTTAAGCAAATATAAAAGGAGAAAAACTCGAAATTAAACTGACGAATTTCTAACTATCTATTGATTCTTACTTGATACGATGTACCTTAATTATGTAGTACTTTTTGCAGTTGTAGAATCATATACTTTTAATGTCTATATGCTTAAGTTTTGATGACAATGAACATGTTATTCTTGAAACATATGGAAATGAGCAACGTTAACAACATTCAAGATCAAAAGTTCATAAAGCAATATAAAATAGGAGCACAGCAAACACGGACCTTTACAACATTAGAGGTGGAATCAGTCCAAAACTGAGATGAATGAAGAATTTGACAAAATTTTAAACTCATTCTATTTATAGTTATTACTATATTTAGATTTTCTTGGAACAAAGAATAGGTAAATGCATAAGAGTAAACAATGAACAATGAATTACATGGAATGAAAAAGATACACAGCTCAATATTTATCGTTGTAGATTGATTTGGTCGAGTAAAATCAAAAATTTCCTTACGCTTTGAGGAGGGATGGCCCAAAAGTAGATCAATCTTATCCTCTGTGATCATGCGCACTGTTTCACCTGCCGTCAGGGACATGTCATCGACAAAACGTGACGTCACACTGATAATTAAATTAACATATTAGTCAAAAAGTAATATCAATAGCTTATTCTAATAAACTGTAATGAACTGGAGCAAGGGTTATGATAAATAATTAAAATTAGCACATAAAAAATTACATACTGAATGAATAATTCATAGGTGTCGAAAGCCAATTGAAAGGGGGATCAAACCTACAAAATAACTTGACAAGCAAAGAGGGGAAAATTGTGTCCATTGTCCAAGTACGAAAATCAGTACCATTTTTTTTTCAAACACTACCACTGAGCTTTTTATGACCCCTACTACAACTTGGCTGTTGAAGGTGGGTGGGGTGGGGTTAAACTACGCCAAAATGTTCAATGTATTTATTATGCTTAATCTTTGCAAAAAGGTTTGGGGCTAAGCCTTCCTCCCCTCCCCTCTCCGGTTTTGATGCCTTTGTAATTAAAGAATAAAAATAGTAGAGAGTTGAATGCAAGCACATGCAGGTAGATTGAATATAAAAGTCTTTTGATGCATTACCGAATCATATTCACAACATGTTTTATATTTTCCTAGTAGATGACTAATTTTGATGAACTATTTTTTATGTTTTCTTAATAGATAAAACATTACAAAGAAAATATAAATAGAATCTAGTATAAAAAAGCAAGTAAAGTATTTATAAGTGCAATTATAACTCTCAAGAGTTATTTCCTGGAAGACAAAACATTTATCTGTAAAAAAAAAAAACACACACACAAACAGACAAACACAATTTTTTTTGCGCGTTGTGCTCACGAGGAATACAATTACATTCATTCCGTATATTTTTTAGAACTAATAAGATATTTTTTGTAGTTTACATAGTAAACGCTTTTTGTCTTAACTTTTTATCAAGATTTAACAGTGTTGTTGCACACGTGTTTATGGATAACGAAAAAAGTCAGATTTGTAATTGAATATGTGGAGATAACAAATAGTATTCAAGCTCAAAAGTCTATTAAACAATGTGAAATAGGAGCAGAGAAACCACGGACCTCTAAAACATCAGAGGTGGGATCAGGTGCTCTGTAGGAGAATCCCCTGTCGACCCTTAACACAAGCCGTGTGCTACATGTCATGATTTTGAAATGGCAATGAAATACGAAGACAAGGTAAATAAATTTTCCATTTCCATTCCTTTAAAAAAAACAGCTGTCGTTGATATCAAAAAGCTTGGACGTTAATTTATCATGGGGAATGGTTGTGTATAGAAAAAAAATTGAAATATCGTAGGTTTTAAGATGTTGCTTTCGATAAAATCTTTTGATTTCAAAATTTCCAAAAGTTAAAATAGATTATGATTTACAAAAAAGTACTCGGAAGTTGACATCAAAAGATGCTTGAGCTTCTGATTGACAATATATATGTGATTTTCGTAGACCAGGTCTTCGAACAATCTATTGGAATTTCTATGGGTAAAAATTACCCCCGTTATTAGCAGACCTTTTCTGTATTCATATGATGCAGATTTTGTCCAAAGTATTATACAAGGAAAGAAGAACACACTTTCAGTGGCCTTCAACTCAACATTCCGAGATATCGACGACGCGTATTGTCAATTAATATTGATAATTTCCCGGTGAGCTTGAGAAAAAAAAAATACCAGAGTCGGACACGTCTATTTCAAATCTGGATATTTATACCCCCGCTTGAAAAGTGGGAGGGTAAACTGTAATTGGTATGTACGTCCGTCCGTCCGTCTGTCTGTTAGCCTTTGGGGTACCAATCTCTAATCCGCAACTCTTCTTATACCATTGAGTGAAATTTAATGACACTTTCATAGAATCTTTATTACATATTGCCATTGTGCACCCCCTATTTAACTTTTTGATCCGACACATATTTTTGGTTTCCCGGCCACAGCAAAACATGGACTTTGCCATTATAACCATATGGGAGGCGGGGGTATCATTTAGTGAGCTCACTGCTCAAAGTACCTCTAGTTTATTTGAAAATTACGTTAATGGCAATCTAACAACCAAGCTCCATGACAACAAAGCTCAACTTTTCTGTAATATATACCTTCATCACCTGTATACGGAGTTAATATATCTCAGTTGATTCGATGCGCAAGAGCATGCTCTACGTATGAACAATTTCAATAATAGGTAAATTATTGACAAGCAAGTTGATGAAACAAGAATATTAGCAGTCTTGTTTAAAATCCCCGTTTCCTACGATCTAATGTCGATACAATGACCTTGTCATTTATCACTGAGACAAATGCTGTCTAATGTTTTTCCTACTAATTATTAGTCCATTATTTATACACTGAATTGACTACGGATTTTTCCGATATTTCGGGAGCACAAGGAGCACACGGCGGGTGTGACAGGTCGGCAGGGGATGCTCACACCTCCATGGCACCTGATCCCACCTCTATGTTTTGGAGGTCCATGTTTGCTTTACTCCTATTTTGTATTGTTTTATGAACTTATGATCTTGAACACTGTTTGTTATCTCCATATGTTTCTTGATACATTTCAAATGCATCGTAACACTTAAGTGCATGATTCATTTTTTGAAAGATTAATTTCTCGTTAATCAGACTTATTGAAATATATTCAATCCTGAAGTAATTACTAACGAATAGTGATCTCGTAAACTTATTATAGATCACGTTAAAGGCTTTTGCAATAGCAATTTTGAAATATATGACTAGTTTAAGGGGGCCGACTGGGGTTTTATTGTGTGAAAACTGCAATGGCGAAACTCTTCATTTTTATACCTTATAACTTGCATTAACTTCCCTGTACATGTAAAGTTTTGGGAAAATCTACCGTCTAGGTATTTTTGAGGGACCGTCTCAAAATACAGGTACAATAACTATAGGATTATATAAGAAAATGCCAATTCTTAGCACTTTAAAGAAAATTATAAAAATACTACGGTAGACTTTTTGTTCAAACTATTATATTTGATGGGTAATACTATATTATACAATATATTATACAATATATGTAAGAAACACAAAATTCTACCGTCTTGTTACCATAGGCGGTATTTCAAAATGCCAAAATATAACGAATTTTTGCTCTTTTTTTATAGAGTACAACTTAAAATATGTCGGGCACAAAGGATTCATAAGAAAACATAGTAAAAAAAATGGAGATATTCTCATTTTTTTATGTTTTAAATTTCGGGAGCGTATGTTTATTACTTTTTCTTTAATAACATTTTTATCATTCCTTTCTTTAAGAGCTTTAGTTTATGATAACGTCAAAAACACAATGTAACGACGTCAACCTACTTATCAATTGAAAATCGTTAAAAAGAAAAGTAAGTTATATAAAATTGTAATTACATTTTTATACCTATAATTTCTTAATTTTGTTTAATTCTAATAATTAAGCGAAAAAAGTTGCTTTAAAGCAGTAAGTACGCTTCATTTTACGATGTTGCGCGAAATATTGCGCAATGGAAACCACAGTCCGCCCCCTTAAACGTACAAAAGTAGCCATCGGGTTCAGATTTATTTGATATCAACAATGCATATCTTTTTCCATAACCCTCTGTAGGTGGAAAATTTTATTAATAAATCAAGTTCATTACTGATCTCTAACACGGAATCGAATCGAATATTTTTTTTTATTTTTCGTTAATTGGAGTGTATCGATTTTTTACACAGATTTCCACTCACATGTGATCATAGTTCATAAATATACTATAAACAGGATAAGACGCAAAAAATCCTTCCCGGCAAATGTCTGTATTAATCAACAGTGATCAATGTAAAGCTCGAGAGAATAATAATTGAATTTTGTAAAGGAGATGTTTGGCAGTGAGAGAATCATATTCATAACACTTTGATTTTGAATAGACAGGTTGACAGTATACAAAATATTCTAACAATAATTACAAGAAAATATTGATGTAACCATCAATTGTCGCCCGGGAAATATATCAAGTAAACAATGAAAATGAGTCTTGATCATCAAACCGCTTCGATATGTGTGAAAAGGCAATCCGTCTAATTGATGGAGACGATAGTCGCGAATATTTTGAAAACTTGTAGTCGGATAAAAATTAATCAAAAACGATACCACTTTAAACTTGATCAATTCCTCAAGTAAATGTTGGCTGCATAAAATATAAATTGAAGTTAGACACACGTATCACCTATATTTAAAAATATATTATTTTTCAATATTATAATATAAAACACAAACTGTGCAGAGAACGTTTTTATCCGAGAAGTAAAATTCGATGTTCTAAAAAAAGGGACCTGTCGTTTTTTCGATAGTAAATGATAAGCAACTTTACATATTTTAAAATATTAAAAACATATATTTTTACAGATTCACTTTATAGAAGTAAATATATTATGTATCTCGTTATTTAGAAAGGGAACGAAAATTTTGATTAATAATGTTTTCAATGTTTAGGAAACCTTTAATTCTGAATAACTTCTCCCACCTCAATCCCCATACACCAACACTTAAACTTATATGTATAGAGCAGCCCGGTCCTCCGGGCTGCAATAATTTCTTTCTTGAAATCATTAACATGTCATGCCATTGGATGTAGTAATGTCATATCCTGTCCATTTTTGAATTAATATATTGAATTTATGCATTTTTGAAAAAAAAAACTTCAATAAATAATGTTAAATTGTCTTAAATAATTTATATCTTCTGAATTGCAGTTTTTAAAAAAGACATATGAACTAATTGTTCTCCACCCCCCTCATTCTCACTCTCTGTATTGCCAAATTTTAGATTTTTGAGAAAACTCATCCATGAAGATCCAGACCACTACGCGAAATGAGCACAATTGGATATCACAATTTGAAAAGTTTCATACCGAACTTTACAAAGAAAGTTTATGCTACAATTAATTATAAATCTACTTTTGTCCCAAAAAATATATTGCTGGGCCATTTTTGCACACTGAATTCTTTATCTAGTTTTAGCTATTTCCAAAACAAGATAAGAGGACACGGTGGATGTGGCCGGTCGTAAGGGGATGTTCACTTATCCCTCAGATCTGATCCCACCTCTGTATTTTTTCAAACGTCCGTTATGCTCCCAATTTGTTTTGGTGTAACATAAATAAATAATAGATTCTGTTTATCTGATTATCTCCATATTTCATTTTAAAATATTGTTCCAAAAAAATTAGTGATTTAAGTTATCGCTTAGAAGATTGTTTTGATGTGACGTAATGGCGACTTCAATAATTACGTGTCATAATAAAATAAAACACAAGCATGGTAGCATGAAGTCTTGCAATGACCATCGACGTTCATTTTTAAGCATTGAATTTTATTTTTGAAATAGTTCATAACTGCAAGCGTGTTACTTAATTTACAGACACCGATGCAGTATTGAGTATACATTTGATTTTATTTCCTTTATTTACAATTGTTTTAATCGGTGCCTTCATCATTTTTGTTAATTTCCGTGTAAGTACAAACCTGACAATCCACCTGACAATCCACGGAGTGTTTCTAACATTCCTTTTGACTTTCTTACAATTATTTCATTGAAACTTGTATATATCTATTTATTTATTAAAATCATTTCTTTTTATTGACTTATTTATCATTTCTTCAAATGCTTTGATTTTTGTATGTATATTTATAATATATATTATTATATTTAAACTACAATACGGATATACTTAAAATATACTTAAAATATGCTAATCTTGGATTCTTTTGTCCTGAACCTTTAGGAGATACTAAATGGCAATATTTATCTTCTTTTTGGGGGAAAAATGGTGAAACCTTTCTCGGGGTTTTATAAATCCCTCTTTGCTCAATCTCACAATATCTTAATGCGTACCTCACTTATACAAACCCAGTATTCTCTGCTGTTGTAACAGTGAAATAGGAAACTTACCTGAAAGTATGATTCAGGAAATGTCCATCTTTTCTGGCGTTGTCTACTGCAATAGATATAGCACTCGCCTGAAGTTCGTAACTCGCCCAGTTCTTCTGTCCCCGCAACATTAAGAGTCCAAGATGAAAATGCGAACTCAAAACAATACCCACAGATCCTAGAAAGACGAATACCTCGGCACGACAAATGCCGTGCACCATTATTATAGAGTAGCTTGTGGTATTTTCTATTTAAAAAAAATATTGAATAGGTTTAAATATATAACATGATGTGGAGTAGATGTCCCACTACATTAGTAGTTTTCTAATCAAATTATTAAGCAGCTAAAGGTGAGTGTTCACAAAAAGTTAATTCGATCATCATTCAGAAACTGGTACTATTTCCTACTGTAGCGTTTTTATTGCTAAATGAACTCCAAAGCCGATACCAATCCTTAGAATACAATTGGTAAATAAAATTTTGTTTGATTTTAATGTTTGAGAGCGACGCAGGAGCATAGAAAATAGGAATTCTTGTTACTTATATTTTCCACAGGTGAAGAACGGTCGATAATTATAAAACATGATCTATTCGTATTTACATAATTATGAGGAGAGGACGCCATCACTTTGTTTTATACGTTGTGTGAACATGATGTGCAGCAGGGTGATTAAATAACAGCAGAAAAACTGGTGACTTAATTAAATAAGCAGACTCCGTTCTTTTTTTCAGGCTAATCAAAACGGGCTGTGTTTCTGCCATATTAATACTAAAAATAGGAATTGAAATCACTTTTTTCCAAATTTTTAAAGCATACTATTTTTTTTATCAGATTAAGAAATTCACATATTATTGTAGAGTATCCAGGCTTTTTCATGAAACATATTGAGATAACACACAGTATTCAAGATCAGAAATCCATAAAACAATACAAAATAGGTGCAGAGCAAACACAGACCTCCAAACCATCGAAGGTAGGATCAGGTGCAACATGGAGGAGTGAGTATCCCCTGCCGATCGGTCACAACCGCCGTGTGCTCCTTGTCATGATCGGGAAATAACGGGAAAATTAGTCGTCAGTTCATTCAGAGTATAAATAATGGACTAAAATTTTATATGAAAAACCTCAGACAGCATATGACTCAGTGGTAAACTGCTGAGTTGTATTTGCTGACAAGGTCATTATATCGACCAGAGAACTTAAGAAATGATGACTTTAAACGAGGCAGCTGAAATTCTTGTTTCATCAAATTGATTACATTTACAGATGTTTTTTTTTAATTAAAACGGGACTTTTAAAATTTACCTACCTTGTCATTGGTCATTTGCAAACATTTTGATTGTACACACAAGTACCCTGAAGTTGATTGAAAAGATGTCCGAGTTTCTGATTGAAACTAACTTTGTGGTATTCAAAAATCTTTCGGAATTCTCATTTGTTCTTATCATGTCCCGTTATTGGTAAACATATTTTTTCTATTCATATCTAGTAGCAGGCACGTAGCAACAGGGGGGCCGGGGGGGGGGGGTTGCTCTCCTCCTTTTTTTCCCAACATTACTTTTACTGTTGGAAATGTTCATTGAAAGGCTGGTTGGCCCCCCACTATATAGTACAGGTAATTGATATTCGGGAAATGTAGTATTGAATACCAAACAGTCGATACTGAAAGAAGTTGGCCTTGAAAAAATGTTGGCCTCTACCCCTCTCCCCACCCCCCACCCACACACACACTCACACACACGAAATAGGATTTACGAGTTTGGGCAATTTCCTATTTTGCTTGTCAACTTTTCAGGTAAGTCGAAAACGATTCTACGTGGCTGAGTAGAATTTGTTATAAATGTTTATGCGTAAAAAGAAGAAAACGCTTCTACAATTTGACATTTAGATAAATATTGACAACAAATTGTCAATCAACGATGGTTATCTCCATTCTTATGTGGATACAACGTATTCCGGTGAGCTTGAAATAAAAAATACGAAAACCTCTGACATTTCTGTTTCATTTTAGATATCGTACCAGAAAAACACGTTAATTGTAACCTAACAACCAAGATATACTTTGAAAATGATGACCTTAACCTTTCATTCGTCAACTTCCCTTACTTATGCAGAGATATCCCTTCATCAATACATACGGGGCGCTAGAGGATGCTCTGCGTATGAACAATATCTACAAACAAGTTGAAGAAATAAGAATATCAGCAGACTAAATTAAAGTGACAATTTCGTAAGTTCTGTGGTCGATACAATGACATTGTCATAAAAAATTATCTATCATTCATAAATATTCAAATGCTTAATGGCGTTTTGACCTTTTGTCGACGTTTTTTGCTGTTATTTTCTGATGCTGACAAGGAGACCACGGAGGTCTGATTGGTTGGAAGGGGATGCTCACTCCTTCACGGCAAATGGAGGCCCGTGTGCTTGCTCCAAAATTTGTATTAATTAATGAACTTTTGATCTTAAATATTAGTCGTTTTCTCCATATATTTCATGCAAAATAAAATTTCCACAATTTTAATTTAAATGATAACTGATTCTGTCTCCTAGCATATTTTTGATTTTTTTACATAAAAAGTTATAATAAAAGAAATAATTGTAAATTGTATCGCATTGTTATTAACTTATTTTTATTTCTTAGTTTTTTTTATTCATTTCAAATGATGATTCAGAGATACTGGATTTTCAATATTTTGTTTAAAGTCTCTTTAAGAACGCAAAATAAATGAAAGATTAAGATTTTTAAGGAGATTTATTTTTCATGAAAAGGAGGCTTCACACCTTGTTCTACGAGGGTTGTCCCAAAATTCCGTAGACAAGCGATGTTTTATAGGAACCCTATGTCATACATAAATGAAACTTCGTATATAGATTAAACCAACATTATCTAGTAAATTTATGGACAAATATGGAATAACTACACAAATTATTCCAATTTTAAAGACACATTTCATTGCCTGGTGTAGGAAGGCGGCGCAATACCCAAAAGTTGCAATTAAAATTTGGTATATTATATTTAAAATCCTACGGAAAGGTATTTACTACCCTGTATTATTTAAATGGAAATGAAAATTCTTAATGTTGATTTATTGACTACATTTCCTTAAATTTTGGTGTTTATCCTTTGATAACTATCAATTTTATAATGTTTTATACACATGGGGTTGAAATCCGACTTTTAGAAAAATGGCGGCTGCGTTGGCACAGGCGGCGCACTGGACTATGATCAAGTGTTTTGATCCTGAATTTTTCTCTAACAGAAAAGTAACAGTCAAAAATGTTTGGTAGATTTGGAAACCTTTTCTCGTCCTTAGTATTTAAAATGACTGAAACGGTTTCTCTATGTATATGTGAATAACAGTAACTAAAATAAAAGACAAGACTAAGAAATGGGCAAGTGTTCCATTGTGCAACTCCGTTAGAGAAAACAGACGAAAAGCCCGTAGAAATATAGCGTTTTCAAATTATTATTATTTCATACCTGTACATGCATATACTTTGTTTACATATTTTAATATTTAATCATATCATAGTAATTAAGATATTTCACATGTATAACTATAACCGCTTCGTTTGATTTAAGAATTCGATTCTGGTAGCTGAAATATTTTCTCCAAAATTTTGAACCGTTGACATTTTTATATTTTGACGTTGCAGATTGCTCCGGGTGTTAGAGAACGACATCACTTTAAATGTTTTTACTCGAAAAAGTTTTCAAGTAAACATGATAAAACTTCGTAATTTATCTGCCAAGAACACGCTTTATCCACCCTTAAAATTTTATAAAGATACATTAATTCCTTTAAAAGATATGAGCCCAGTCTACGACTTTTTGGGACAACCGTCGTATGTAATTTGTCTCTTCATTTTTTAAATGTTATAAGTTCTAGATTTTTCTTTTCTTATTCGTTTTTGAGGATTTTAGGACATTAACTACAAGCTACTCACAGATAAGTTTTTGTTGCTTGATTCAACCTCATCAAAAATCAATATTTCAACAATACCATTTGAAATTAGTTATAAAGACCTAATTAATTACAAATTCAATTAATCATTATGTTGATTTGTTGTGTTTATGGCTAATGTGTTTCATAGAAATTGCTGCTACAAGGTATAAATACCTAAAAATAACAAATCTGCAAAAAACTAGCAAAAGATAGAAAAAGACCTATGTTAATTATTTAACATTATAGAAAGATCATTCGAGAAAATGGATGTTTTCTAAATAAGAGCATTATAAACAAATATCCCTCTGGTCACTTTGAATGCAAACAAAAATCCCCTCTTAAACAAAAGAATGCACCAAGAATGATGATCTCGTAATTAATGTATTATTCAATCTCGGATTTGTTTAAAGAGAGTGTTATATGAAAACTGGGAGGTCTACATTACCGCTACATTGCCAAAAATTTCAACTCATTACCGCTACATTTTTTCAGATTTTCAACCGATCATTACCGCTACCTTTTCCGGCCAAAAACAACTCATTACCGCTACATATCGATTTAGCCAGGTATGGTTCGGTAACATATGAGTTCTAATCAACAGAATTCACTCACTATCTAATCAGAATGAGTATACTTATATAAATAACTCTATAGTCGAAATTTAATTATTTAGCTTCATCTGAACATTATGGCCACAATTGAGAAGTTTGTTACAAATTGAGGGAATGCCGGCTTACTTATCGATGGTTACAAATTTAGAAAACAATATTTCAAGCAAATGGCTTTCAAGGCTTTAGCGATAGTGTAAAAAAAAAACATTTGACAAAACTTAGAACTTTATCTATATGAACAGTGCCTGATTTTAATAATGAAAAAAAAATCCTGCTCAAAGTCCTACTTTCACCTCCCCATGGTGAGCAGAGGAACCGGGTCTTATGCAGTAGTATCTTTATTGGTGTATACAATGCATATATTGCCACCAATATGCATTTATAGGTTGTACTGTACACGCATATGTGGCTGCCTAACGAAAGAGGCAATGTAGCGGTAATGTATTCTTTTTTATGTAGCGGTAATGTAAGGGTTTTTTGTAGCTTTAATGACTATGTAGCGGTAATGAAAATTTTGAAAATGTAGCGGTAATGATACGCACCCAAACTGTCCTTTGCCATGAAATAACGGATAAACTTACGCTAATAGTTCCCATTCTAAGAAGGAAAAAAACAGACAGAGGCTAGTTTAAAATTATATGATCCTACCGAACAAAAGGGAATTGGAAAATCAAAAGACGTTAACTAGTTCCTGAACATGATC